GAATTAAAAAAGAGTGAGTTAGAGAAAGAACAAAATTCAATAGGAGGAGAGGTTCAAAGGGAAGAGATTAGAGCCATAGATAATTGGTGTTTAGAAGAAATGGGGGAGAGGGATAAAGGAGTTTTAGGAGTGGAAGAGGAAGATTCAATAGCAGCCTTTGTAGGGAAACTAGACTGTAAGTTTAAGGATCTCAATGAGTTGAAGTTGTCTTTGATGAAGCCTGAAGATGGAAGGAAGACTAAAAAGAAAAAATTAACCGAGGTAGAGAGATTGAGGTTGGATATTCTAGGTGACAAGGAATTTAGTGGAAAAGGGGAGAGAAGAAGAGGCAGGGAGTTGAAGGGGAAGAAAAAGGGCAACTTATTGATTGCCAATGAAAATATTAAGCTGGAATGTGAGAGGTTTGGGGAGTGCAAGAAAGAGAGTGGTGATAAAAGATTTGATTAAGAAAATTCTGACATAGTTGTGTTGCAAGAATCAAAGTTGGCTAAATTTGACTATAAATGGGTCAAAAGTTTGTGGAAGGCAAGAGGGAGTGGAAGAGCTACTTGGTAAATACATTGTTTCTACGAAGTTTCGATAGGTAGAGGATGGGTATGCATGGGTGCTAACCAATATTTATGGACCTAATGGATATAGAGAAAGGAATGATCTATGGGATGAACTTAGTGACATTAGAGGATTATGGGAGGGACCATGGTGTATTGGTGGAGACTTCAATGTAGTTCGGTTCACTAAGGAGACAAATAATCTGAGGCAAAGAATCACTACAAGCATGAGGAGGTTTAACAATTTCATCAACTCCTTTGAGCTCAAAGATTTGTCTCTTCTCCACCACAATTTCGCTTGGTCTAATCTCCAAACCACCCCGTTGTGCTCAAGACATGATCGGTTTCTCTTTCAGGTGGATTGGGGTGGGCTATCCTCTAAACCTTACCTAGGGTAACCTCATATCATTGGCCAATTTCCCTACTTCAAGAGGAGCTAAGAGGTTTAGGTCCTGCCCTGTTCAGGTTTGAAAACATGTTAACCCATCCAGGTTTCCACCAAAAAGTGAAGGGATGGTGGGAAGGAGAAAGGCCAAGGGTGAATTTGGAAAGGAATGTTTTTTCCATAGGAAGGGGTGGATTCCAAAGACTTGAAGCAAAAAAAAGGAAGTAGTGGATCAAATTGAAGGGGTGGATTCCAAAGAATCTCAAGGAACACTAGAGGAAAGGGATAGAGAACTAAGAAAGGCTTTAAAGAGACAACTGGAAGACATTTTACTAAAAGAGGAGATTAACTGGAGGCAAAAATCAAGGGTAAAATGACTTCAAGAGGGTGATAGAAACACAAAGTTCTTTCCTGCAATGGCCAATGCAAGGAGAAGGAAAAACGTCATTTCCAGACTGGAGATAGGAGATGAAGTTATTACTGATTAGCATGAGATAGCACAGACCTTTGTGAATCATTTCAAATCAATTTACAGGAGGCCTTTAGATGCAACTTTGTGGATTGAGGGTTTAGATTGGTCAATCGCATCAATTGAGCAGAAAGTGTGGTTGGAAAGACCCTTTGAGGAGGAGGAGATCAGGAGAGCAGTGTTTTCCATGGACAAAGCTAAAGCTCCAACCTGCAGGGCTAGATGGGTTTACTATGGCATTCTATCAGGATTGTTGGGATGTGCTAAAAGAAGATTTACTTGAGGTTTATAGGGAGTTCTTTGAAAGGGGTATAATAAATCCAAGGTTGAATTTAACTTTCAATGCCTTGATCCCTAAAAAGGTGGGAGCTAACCATCCCAAAGACTTCAGACCCATCAACCTAGTGAATAGTTTGTATAAAATCCTAACAAATGTCTTATCTTTAAGAATTTGGGAAGCTCTCCCCTCTTTAGTGACTTGCAACCAAGGGGCCTTTATTCAGAAGAGGCAAATCACGAATCAAATCCTAATCGCTAATGAGTGTGTTGAGGATATGAGGAGATCCAGGAAGAAAGGCATAATTTGCAAGCTGGACTTAGAGAAAGCCTATGATCTAGTTGATTGGTCTTTCCTAATTGAGATCATGAGACATTGTGGGTTTGGAGAGAGGTGGTGCAATTGGATTCTGGGATGTTTAAGGACTTGCCAATATTCAGTATTAGTAAATGGCATAGTTGTAGTTTGCTTTTCAGTGAGATCCTCTCTCCCCTTTTCTCTTCACACTGATGGTGGATGTTTTGAGTAGAATTCTGTTGAGGGCAGACTTAATAGGGCTAGTGAGAGGCTGGAGAGTGGGAAGAGAAGAGGTACCAATTACACATCTGCAATTTGTAGATGACACTCTTCTCTTTTGCGAAGGAGAGAACTTGGATTGGATAAGGAATTTGAAACTCTCGGTGCAACTGTTTGAAAGATTGTCAAACTTAAGGATAAATTTAAAAAAAAAGTTGCATAGCTGGAATAAACATGCATGATGGGGAGATGGCAAAGTATGCAAGCATTCTAGCTGTAATGTTGTGTCTTGGCCCCTAACCTATTTGGGTTTATCCCTTGGAGCAAATCCAAAAGAAGTTGGATTCTGGAATCCAATGATAGAAAATTTCTCTAGGAAGTTAGCTAGTTGGAAGAAAGGAGATTTGTCTCTAGGTGGTAGAATAATGCTGATAGAATCAACACTAGCTAACTTACCTGTCTACTATTTGTCAGTCTTCAAAATTCCAGTGAGTGTGAGCAAGAAATTGGAGGTGGCAATGAGGGATTTCTTGTGGGAGCCAGGGGAGGAAAAGAGAGATCATAGAATAAGCTGGGAAATAGTGTGCAGGGGTCTTGGGATTAGGAAATATAGAAAAAAGGAACATGGCGTTGTTAGGTAAGTGGCTCTGGAGATTGCCTCAAGATAGGGACAAATTGTGGACAAAGGTGATAGTAAGTATTCATGGCCTCTTGGATAATGGATGGGATGCTGGTGTGTTGCCTATGGCAAATGAAATCCATCCTCACCTTGGAAAGCCATTAGTGCAGTCCTACTTCTCTTCCTTCCTTCCATGAGATACAACCTTTGTAATGGTAACAATGTTAAATTTTGCGAACATACTTGGCTAGGAGACTCCCCTTTAAAGGACCAATTTCCCTCTCTCTTTGCCCTCTCAAGCTTAAAAAATGAGCTAGTTTCTAAGTTCCTTGTCCAATCTCTAGCTTCACTCAATGGGGTTAATTGGGACTTGGGTTTCCGGAGGGGTATCCGAGACTCAGAACTTCAGTGTCTTCTTAGCCTCTTACATTTACTGGAAGGAGTTTTCATTGAAACCTTCAAGACCTTATAGCCAAGTTTGGACTTGTACCCCATCAGGGTCCTTCTCATGTGCCTCCTTTAAAACTCTACTAGAATCATCCTATAGTGGTCTGCCTCCTTTTACGGCGAAGGAGGTGTGGTGCAAAGCTGTTCCACCTAGAGTTGCTGCATTTTGTTGGGAAGTGGTTCATGGAAAGATTAATACTCTTGATCTACTCCAAAGAAAGCAGCCAAGTTGGTGTTTATCCCCTCATTGGTGTGTATTGTGTAAGGCTGATGGTGAGAGTTGCCTCCACCACTTTCTCTCTCGTTCTTTCATTACCTCTATTTGGGATTGGTGCTTTTCTCTTCTTGGGTGCAGGTGGAGTCCTCCGGCGGATGTTCAACGTCTATTTGACACAACTACCTTTGGATGGCGAACAAAGAGAGGGAGGTTAATGTGGAACTGCATTAGAGATGCTGTTCTTTGGATTGTTTGGGAAGAAAGAAATGGAAGAGCCTTTACAGATAAAGAAAGAAATAAAAGTGATATCTTGGAAACAATCAAAGTTAAAGTGGTGCATTGGCTGAAATCGTTGACAGCCTTCTCTCATATGTCAACAAATGATCTAATGAGAAGCCGGAAGGAAGTAGCAAACTCTACAGCCCATAAGACAATTATAAATCATACTTGGTCACCTCCAAACAGAGGTTTTATCAAGCTTAACTTTGATGGTAGCAGCTTGGGGAATCCTGGACCATCAGGTATTTGAGGTATTTTTAGAGATGAGGATTATTCATCGCTATTTTCTCAGGGCCAGTTGGTGGAGACTCCCTGAGAGCAGAAGTTTTGGCAGTAGTGGAAGGCATTCAGAAGGCAAAACAATTGAGCATCCAAAAGCTATTTGTGGAAGGAGATTCCAAACTGGTGATTTGCTAGTTACAAAGTGGGGGATCAGAACTGTTGGTTTTCGACAATGAAAGGAAGAAGATCAGGTGCCTAACCAGAGATATGGAAATAGTGGTTGGGTGGGTTAAAAGATCTGCTAATTCTGTAGCAAATGCCTTAGCTAAACAAGGGGTGGAGAGAGATTTACTTCTCTGGGAACAACTGTAAGGGACCTGTTTGTAGGGGGAGAGATAAGGGATTTTATCTCTCACAGCCGACTGTATTTAATGTATTCCATCTTCCATTATATTAATTAATAAAAGGTTGAGTTATTGATCAAAAAAACAAAAAAAAAACCTTTCTATTTAGTCTAGCTCCTGCTATAAACCACCTTAGAACTCCAGGATTGACTCTGCATGTTATCCAGTTGAAATACTGGAAATTCTCTTTCAAGATTTTCCTTCTGTTTTGGTGTGTACAGCTTCTCATTGTACAAAGGACCTTTTACATCAATACAAATATACTTTACCTTTGCTCTAAAAAAAATCAAAATATGGAAATACAGTTTTTTTTTCTTTTCTTTTTTTGAGAAGGTAACAGATTTCATTAAAAGAAAGAGAGGGAAATACAGTTGTTACTATACAAGAACCTTTAATCAGGAAAATGGTTTAGGTTGTTTAGTAATCCAAGACTCCACTGTAAGCCTATAATTCATTAGTCATTGAGATCTTTCTGATATTCAGTTTTTTAAAGCTTTGAGTTGGCAGTGTTAGCAATTATTTTTTTGCTTGAGGCATTTCTATTAGATAGCTGCTTGTAGTTCAGATATCTTTTATTGTTGAAATTTCTTTAGCACGAGTGAACTGTATTCCTGCAGGAATGTCCAGCTGGCACTTTCAAGAATGTTAGTGGTTCTGATAAAGCCCTTTGTCATCAATGCCCACCTTATGAGCTTCCACATCGTGCCATCTACATAAATGTTCGAGGTATCTGTGAAAATTTATGTTTGTTTGTGTTTTCTTGCTGAACTGTCACGCTTTTTACTGAATAATGTGGATGGCCAAGTAGTTGACCTGGTTCTGTAAATTTCCCTTTCTCCTTTCATTTAATTCTTTCAGAGGCAACTATTTTCTTTTAGTAAATTTGCTCCTAAGCTCGGCTGTTTTCTTTAACAGGTGGCGTTGCTGAAACTCCATGCCCTTACAAATGCATTTCTGACAGATATCACATGCCTCGCTGTTACACAGCTCTTGAAGAGTTGATATACACCTTTGGTGGGCCATGGTTATTTGGCCTTCTTCTCTTGGGTCTCCTTATCTTGTTAGCTCTGGTGCTTAGTGTTGCACGGATGAAGTTTGTTGGTACTGATGAATTGCCAGGTCCAGCTCCCACTCAGCTGGGCTCTCAAATTGATCACTCCTTCCCTTTCCTGGAGTCACTGAATGAGGTGTTCCCTCCAATTAACATCCTTGCACTGTCAATACTTCATCATTAGGACTCCTGTAATTTCATTTTGCTTAGTTCTGCTTTTTTTTCGTTTGGAAGTTGATAGAATTCCTCTTTCCTTTCAGGTTCTGGAAACTAATAGAGCTGAAGAGTCTCAATCTCATGTCCATAGAATGTATTTTATGGGACCCAATACTTTTAGTGAACCGTGGCATCTTCCTCACTCTCCTCCAGAACAAGTAATGGAGATTGTGTAAGTTTCTTTGGACAATAATAATCATATAAGTTAGATGTTTGATGCCGATATTATTTTTCAATTCTAAACAGTTTTCTCTCCTGTTCAACTAGGAGCCCCACAGTTACAGTGATTTTGTTTCCTTATTCATACTTAAGCAATGATATATATATATATATTAATTTAAACAGCTGAGGGCTTTTCTACTTATTTGGCATGACAGATACGAGGATGCATTCAACAGATTTGTTGATGATATTAATGCCTTGGCTGCTTACCAGTGGTGGGAAGGAGCTGTCTATAGCATTTTATCTCTTCTTGTATATCCTCTTGCATGGTCATGGCAGCAATGGCGTCGTAAAAAGAAACTACAACGGTTGCGTGAATTTGTCCGATCAGAATATGACCATGCTTGTTTACGTTCTTGCCGTTCACGTGCTCTCTATGAAGGGCTTAAGGTTCATTTCCAAGAAACTGGTGTATTTGTATCTATTAAGTTGTGGATATTGATATCGTGATGTTCTTTTTGCATGTACAGTAACTTATGGTGCATAATTGATACCTTCTCCAACTAAGTTACATCTTTATTTAGTATTAAGTTTCTTCCACATCTTTCATGGGCCCTTCATAACCATATCCATGCATTCACCAACAATTTCAATTCTCACAGGAAATTGTTGGGCAGTTTCTCTATATCACCAATTAGTAGAGAATTAGTTAACCTTTTGCTTCAACCCTTCTCTATTAGATACATACACCGAGTGGCAGAGCAAAGAATTTTCTCTTGGGGGGGTGGGGGCATATATTTATTTTTGGGTTATTGTAATGAAAAAGTTATAATAAGTCAAACTATTAAAAAATAACCTCAGGAACAATTTTCTAATATCTTGATTCATAATGTATTTAGAGTACAAAAAAGACATGAAGTTTGACATAAACATATACATAAAGATGAAAACAAAAGAATTAGACACCTCTTAAGTTGAGCCCATCGACATTTCATACTTCCAACAATATCAAGCAATCAAAAATGGCAAAAATAGATCTCTGCAATCACCGTTTCAGTTGATAAAATTATTTCAGCAAGAAAAGAGCTCCTTTAGCTGTAAAAATAGCCTACCTTGTTTGTATCATTCATTTGCATTAATTTTTGTTTTCTGAATGGCGTAAGATACTGTATTGATAGAAAAATCAGTGTACATTAGAACGCATGTATACAAAAAGGGAATTATACAGAGCTCTCTTAAATACCTTGTAGACTGCCAACCATGAATGTATAAAGCCTGTCATTTTCTTTGTACCAGTTCCTCCGAACACATTTTATTTTTTAAAATTTGTTTATTCCTCACTCCAAATGCACCAGAACACAGAAGGAGGCAACACACTCCATGCTGTTTCCCCATTTGTACTCCAACTTCTCAGTCTCATTCGTTTGCATAGTGATATTTGCTCTGACCTATATATTTGTTGCCTTATATGATGTTTTTCCTGTTTTGCCCAATAGTATTCAACAGCCTTTTGTGCTGGAATTGATGTCCTACAGGTTGCTGCAACTTCTGATTTAATGCTTGCATACGTGGACTTTTTTCTTGGTGGAGATGAAAAGAGAACTGATCTTCCTCCTCGTCTTCATCAAAGATTTCCAATGTCCATTGTTTTTGGGGGTGATGGAAGTTACATGGCTCCTTTCTCACTTCAAAGTGATAACGTTCTGACTAGTCTTATGAGTCAAGTAGGTTTATTTGTTTTTTCTCTTTTGTTTCTTTTACTTTTTCCTGGCACTGTTTTAAGGAATTTCCTTCATAAGGTCAAGTGATTGCCCTTTGTTTCTGTTTGCTTTTTTCAAGTACTACCATTTGAGAAAAGGTATTTGATTGTTGTGTTTCTGATTTGCTTTGCAGGCTGTCCCACCTACAATTTGGTATCGGTTGGTGGCTGGTTTAAATGCTCATCTGCGCTTAGTTCGCCGTGGACGCCTGAGGACAACATTTTTACCTGTCCTCAGCTGGCTTGAAACACATGCAAATCCTGCTTTGAGCATCCATGGTATTCGGATTGACCTTGCATGGTTTCAGGCTACAACTTGTGGTTATTTCCAGTTTGGACTTGTGGTATATGCTGTTGAAGAAGAACCTGAGATGGTGCCTGCTGAACTTGTAGATGGAGCAGTGAGAACTCAGCAACAATCATGGTAAAAGTTTCTTGCAATGCTACTTCTAACATGAGTTGTTTTGGTCCCTTTCATATTACTTTTGCCTTAAAATATTTAGCTGTTTGTTGCAGTGCACATGGTGTTCATGGAGACTGTCTGCCAAGACGTATGAGAAGCAATGAAAATATTATGATACACAAAAGGTTATGTGGAGGGATTTTGAGTACTTGTAGCATTAGAATGCTTGAAGAGAAGAAAGATATTTTTTACCCCTTCTCTTTTATAGTGCATAATACAAAACCTGTTGGCCACCAGGTAGACTTTGATGCTTTTAAGTAAGAGTTTTTTTTTTTTTTTTTTCTTCCCTTTCAGTAGGATGCAATTTTGTTTTTTCTCTAAGTTTATATTTTCTTACATCACTTTATATCATTGCAGGACCTTGTTGGTTTGATCATATCAATACTTCTTTTAGGAGATTTTAGCTTAGTGTTGCTTACTCTGCTCCAATTGTACTCTATTTCACTGGTGGACTTCCTTTTAGTGTTGTTTGTTCTTCCTCTTGGGATTCTATTTCCATTTCCTGCTGGTATCAATGCTTTATTCAGTCATGGTCCTAGGCGGTCAGCAGGTCTTGCACGTGTATATGCTTTGTGGAATATTACATCCTTGATTAATGTTGTAAGTTTTCTTGATTAACTCCATGTCAGCTAGTTCGCATCCTCTCCCTCACTCGTATATATATGCATGTACAAATACATGTAATTTTGTTAGGTTTTCATGTAGTATTATGTACTATATGTAAACTTCAAGATTCTCATGTGTTGCAAATACATGTTGTAATAGGTGGTTGCCTTCATTTGTGGATTTGTCCATTATAAGACCCAATCGTCGTCAAGTAGAAGACATCCAAACTTTCAGCCCTGGAATTTTAGCATGTGAGGATATTATCTCCTAAATGATTTTGATTTTCAGACTCCCTGGTAGAATAATTAGTTCGGCAAAATCTCTTGACACTGATTTACATGCCTTGGTATGTGCGTTTTTTGTGCCGATGCAGGGATGAAAGTGGATGGTGGATGCTTCCTACTGGACTGGTGCTGTGTAAATGTGTCCAGGCACGACTCATCGATTGGCATGTCGCTAATCTAGAGATACATGACCGTTCGTTGTATAGTAACAACCCGGACCTGTTTTGGCAGTCATGATGATGATACTAATTAACCAGGTATCGTTTCATGCAAGGTTTTTTTTTTATTATTATTATTTTGTTGCATTTTTCCCCTTTACTTCCTTTTTTTTTATATTCTGAGAAAGTAGGTGAATGGCACATAGAGGAAAAGAGAGAAATAGAGAGTGAAAGGCATTCATTTATGTAATACCTTGTGATTATGTGCAGTAATAGTTCTCTTCTATGTAAATATAAACTGGGTTCTGCCCATTCTTTGTCGTAGTCCTTTTTCTGTTGGCAATCTTATTTCGAGTCCCCTTTTGTTCTTGCATTTTGCCTTGATGCAAATCCCGATATTTGTTGCCAATTCCTTCAGTATACTCACGGAATAGCAAGAGTTTTTTCTTATAAAAAAATAGGGTTTTCAGAGTCAGCCACCGCTCCTAACAAACAATTTGAAGGATAGACAATTCACGATTAGAGTTCTCTATTCTTTTGACCAAAAGAAGGTTAAAAGTCATTGCTCTCTCTCTCTCTCTGAACTTTTATGTCATAATTGTATGGGTATGGAATTTTAACTTCTAGGCATTTTTTCTTTTTATACCTGATCTATCAAAAGACTAAAAATAATTAATTGATTATTGATTTTTTCGATGTTTATATATTTATGAATATTAACAAGAACATTTTCCATTTTCCTAAGAATTAAGATGCACATTTTTAGTTCTATATCTTTGTAACATTTCCCAAGTGTGTTCCGATAGAACTACAAAAGTGTGCGTTTCTCATGTTTACAACTTTATGTACCCTATTATTGTAATCTCAGACTTGGGAGTTTTAGAGTTTTCTTGGCGTAGCGTTTGAGTATCTTAGGTGTTGTTTGACAAGTCTTTTTAAAAAAAATCCATCAGTTCAAATGGTCAAAAGAAGTTGAGCTTTTAGGGTCTTGTCTTTAAAGACAGACTGTTTTGTAAGTGGCTCGGTCTATCGAGTTTTTAAAAATGCATTTAAAGGATATATCACTAGGCCTGTTTATGGGCTTGGGCTTTGGGCTTGATTTACACTGCATCATGCTTGGGATTCAGGCTGGGCCCTATTCAAAGTTTGGCAAAAGTCAAGCCCGAGATCCATGAACAGGTCTATCACTCAGAAAGATCAAAAAGCTTAATTTGAAACTTTTCAAAATTCAGCATTTTTAGTGTTTTCAGATCTTTTTGTGCATGCCTTTTCATCTTTTTGTCACTAAACGGAAAATGACAGATTTGTTGTCTTTTGAATTTGTCGAAGCTCAGAAGACCATGTGGAAAGACTTGTCAAAAATTGCTTTAGTACATGTTTGACATTGATGTTGAAGAGAAAACAATGCTGCTTATGTGTGGGTTGAAAGCACAAATGGTTCCTTTTATTGGTTTGGAAACGTTGTTGCCAGGTAGGACGTTTCCTGGAGCAACAACACTTTTTGTTTGGTAGTAGTGCTCCATATCTGTTTTTAGCATTGATACCCATTATAGTAAGTTCACATCATGTTCTTGTTGGCAGCAACGAGCTCCAACATGAGAAAACATCAAATTTGGCGTTTCTCCAAATTATGCCTTCTCGATTTCCAAGGCGTGGCTTAGAGTACCATTTTTTATGGAAAAACGATTTCAAACATATTGACGTTTTTTAGAGCACTATTTTTTTTAGCGTGACGCTGATGTGTTACCATTTTCTAGAGCAATGACATCAATGCCAAAACATATGCTTAGTTTTTCAACCATACTCATGAGTGTGATGTATCTAAAGTGTGATACATTTTTTTTTAAAATTGGCTTATATATGATATTGAGAACTAATGTGTGGTTTGAACTTGCTAATGCGCCCATATGGTTGGGAGTGGTAGAAAAAGAAATGGGTTTTGATAAACCGGCCTTGTTTTTGATGAATGATAAACTGGATGTACCCTTCGTCAAAATTCAAGGCAATGAATATGATTGTTGGTTAGTGGTTACCATATAGCCTGTCCTAATCTCCTCTCAGCATGGTTTTTAAAACTGACTTGGTGACCGAACCAGTTAGGGGTCTGGTTATCGGGTCGAACGGTCCGACTGTTCTTACTGAACGCTTAGCCCGTTTTGACATAAAAAAGAAAAAAATTCAAAAAAATAAAAAATGGTCAAAACGGGTCATCGGACCAGTTTTCGGTTTTTTCGATTCAATCGTCTGGTCCTGTCCGGTTTTAAAAACCATGTCTCTCAGTCTTATGGTGAGATGCGAGGATACAGATCATGTTGAAACTTGGAAGTGCATTGGGACAGTTCTTGGGAGGAGACCCCAACTCTTGTATAACAGTCAATGTTTGGTATGTTGCCGTCTTTTAATACAGGTAATATTTGAATAATTCACCATGACCATTAAGGGTTTTCCCTTTAGGCTCAGTTTGGAAGGAGTACAAATACGAATATAGAGTGCAAAACATTGTAATTATATTACTAGTGAATATGTACGTGCATTTCCACGTGACAGTATCTTTAAGACAAAACTATTTACAATTCATGAACAGTTTTGAACAGTTATATATAAGTGGACAATTTTTTAACTTTTATAAGTGAGCAGTTTTTGGAGTGAAAGTAAAGGACATATATGCCGTTTTTTATGCCCATTGTATGTTGCTTAGATAAGGGGTAAAAATGTGTAATGAAAAATCCAGAAAATAAGATTATTCACTAATATAGATTTTGTATGTATTTGCACCGTACATATTTATATTTGTATTGCCCTCATAACTTTTCAATAAGGACAAGGAAACTACAATCATCTCTTTTGAATCATTGTAACTAGTTCTTGACATCGTGTTCATTCACTTCTGTGGGAGTTGAGATGTGTTGGGGGGGCATATGGACTCTCGACTTGACTAGATGGCCATGATTGTCTGATTGAGAAGCTGATGATGATACTAATATGATATCTTTAAGTTTTCTACCATATTGACCATTTGAGTTGAAAACTTTCGGAAGCCCCCAAGATAGTCCCTTTCCATTGATATCTTATGATATATATACAAATTCAATCGAAGTTCTTGCTCCTCAAAACTTTATAAAAACTAACTCCTAATCCAAAAGAAAATACAAAACTCCTAAAACTTCTAAATCCTAATTGTATAAGGAATATACAAATCCGGGATGAGGATGAGCCTTCAAATCCGGGATGAGCCTTATCTTCGTCCAATACTCCCCCTCAAGGTGGTGCAAGAGGATTGTGAATGCCCAGCTTGGGAAGGAAAAAATCAAACTGTTTTTGTCCGAGAGCTTTTGTGAAAATGTCGGCAACTTGTTCACTGGTACGAACATAGGAAGGCGCAATGGTGCCGGCTTGGAGCTCATTGCGAATGAAATGACAATCAACTTCAATATGTTTGGTTCGCTCATGGAAGACAGGGTTYGCAGCAATGTGYAGAGCARCTTGATTGTCACAAAACAAGCGTATAGGTTGAGGATGAGATATACCAAAGGACGACAACAGACCTTTTTAGCCACTTCAACTCACAACTGGCAATAGCCATTGACCGGTATTCAGCCTCGGCAGAGGAACGAGAGACAGTGTGTTGTTTCTTAGTCTTCCAGGAGATGGGGGAATGTCCAAACATGACAAAATACCCAGTAAAAGAGCGACGAATCAGAGGACAACTCACCCAGTCGGAATCACAATAGGCATACAATTGCAGATCACTATCAGAGCACAAAAATATTCATTGATCAGGACGTCCTTTCAGATAACGAACCACACGTAATGCCGCCTCTCAATGATCAACACGAGGACACTGCATAAATTGAGCCAGGACATGGATGCAATAACTGAGCTCCGACTGTGTAATGGTTAAATAAATCAAACAACCCACAAGACGTCGATATAGTTCAGGGTCATCCTGGAGTGCTCTGTCAGCAAGGGCAAGTTTACGATTCTGAGTAATAGGTAAGTGAGCAGGTTTGGATCCCAATAAACCAGCTTCTGTAATAATATAAAGTGCATATTTTCTCTAGCAAAGAAATATCCCCGATGATTCGCGAGTCACTTCGATGCCCAAAAAATATTTAAGAACACCCAAGTCTTTCATGCGAAAATACCGGTTCATATACTGTTTAAATTTGTGTATGAACTCCGAGTTATTCCCACCAACAATTAAGTCATCAACATAAACCAGGACATGCAAGACAACCCCATTCTTGCGATATGTAAATAAGGAATAATCGAAATAGGACTGTTCAAACCCAAAAGTTTTCAAGGCAGCACCTAACTTGGAGAACCAGTTCCGGGGGGCTTGCCACAAACCATACAAAGATTTCTAGAGTTTGCATACCTTTCCAGTCCCGGAGGCCGAAAAACCTGGAGGAGGTTTCATATAGACTTCCTCATGGAGATCACCGTGTAGAAAAGTATTGTGGACATCCATTTGATGCAATTCCCAATGTTGGGCCGCAGCAATTGCTAAGAAGGTTCGAACTGTGACCATTTTAGCCACAGGGGCGAAAGTCTCGTTGTAATCAAGACCTTCAACTTGAGTGTTGCCCAGGACTACCAACCGTGCTTTAAATATTTCAATGGATCCATCAGAGTTGTACTTGATTCTGTAGACCCATTTACACCCGATTGCCTTTTTTCCAAGTGGGAGGTCTTCCAAGGTCCATGTCCCATTGTCTTCCAAAGCCTGTATCTCTTGGCGCATATCCTCGCGCCACCGAGCATCAGTCATTGCTTCAGAGAAACGAGTAGGTTCTCGGTCTGCAATAACAGCTGCCAAGAAACGTTTGTGTTTCATAGAAAAATTATCATACGCCATAATGAGTTATGGGATAAGGAGTACCTGAGGACTGAGATGATGCAGGAGAAACAACGGAGGGGTCTACGCATTGAGCTGAGTGTGTGACAAAATCCTATAAATAGCTGGGGGTCTGCTTTTCTCGATATCCGCGGCCTAGTACCTCCGTGGTGGGCTGAGAAGCAGCTGGAGTTTCATTATCTCTATAATCTGTATGGCTTATTGTCTCATCAAGAGGAACTGCCTCCTCATCATTACCCGTGTTCGGATGTCCTTCATTGATCGTGTCGCTCCCTCTGACTTCTATATGAGGTGACTCAGATACCATGTCAGGAGGAGTGGCCCAAGACAATCCAATATTTTCTTTGGCTACGGGAGGACTGGTTACAGAGGGTTGATGTTCCGAAGTGGCAAAGGGAAACTTGGCCTTACTAAACACCACGTCTCGTGAAACGAAGTAATCACCAGACTCAAGATCGAACAATTTCCACCCCTTTTTCTCAAAAGGGTACCTAATAAAGACACATTTCCTACGCCTAGCGGCAAACTTGTCACGGTCCCGAGTATGTGAGAAACATAAGCAACCAAAAACTCTGAGATGTTTATAAGGACTTTGTCCAAATAGCATCTCGTAAGGTGTTTTACCACCAAGAATGGTCGAAGGTGTACGGTTTATCAAGTACCCTGCGGTCAAAACACACTCACCCTAGAAATTGATCGGAAGATGTTCTTGAAACCTGAGCGCTTTGACCACATTCAAAATATGACGATGCTTTCTCTCCACACGACCATTTTGTTGTGGTGTCCCAACGCAGGAAGTTTGAAATAAAATTCCTTGTTCGTCAAAGTATGACTTCAAGGATTTAAACTCTGTTCCATTATCAATTCTTACCACCTTAACCTTCTTATTAAATTATCGTTCAATCATGACACAAAAATTTTTAAGTGTTCTACCAACTTCACTTTTTACGGCCAGCAAATAAATCCAAACCGCTGGAAAATAATCATCAACAATTGTCAGAAAATATACCGCACCACAAGATGCAGGTACTCTATAAGCATCCAATAAGTCACAATGAATTAATGCAAAACAATCAGTCACCTTATCTTCGTCCAATATGAATAGTCGTGAATGATGATCACCGGATGAGACGAATTCTCGGATGAGACGAATTCAGATCTGCTGACCACAGCCATCCTCATCCAGCCGCGCGTTAAGATCAGTGAACACTGCACAACCGATGTTTCATATATGTGGATGGATGAATGTGTTGTGGTTAGGAGAGACTTCCTTAAGACACTGAAATAGGAAACTGATAAAAAACAATTATGCACCATGACTTCAATTAATATGCACTTGCAGTTTCTCGTGGTTCTCACCATCCACAACTTCCCAACTACCACGGTAAAGCCACGCCCGTGCGAAATACTGTTCCGCTTTTATGGTTAGAGTGGGAGAAAGCTCACATTATATGTTAGTCTATAGATAAGTCCGCGGAGTCTGAACTAACTGGACTATAGACTGAAAATAGAATCATCCAAACTTATCTATATACATATATATTTCTCTGTATGCTTTGAATGATGCTTGACAACACAATTCCATTGTGAGTTCTCTCGTTATTATAAATTCTTTGTTCAAGCGGAAGAAGTATTCTTCTCTACGGTGTGAATTTCAGCCGCAGCACCCGCTTCAAGAGAAGATGGGTCTCTACCGTGGTGGAACCCAGGTTCCAGTCTTGTTGATCTTATCATCGGTACTCATCATCGGTGTGTATGGACAAGGATCCACCACACTTGTTCCGGCTATCATCACGTTCGGTGATTCGTCAGTGGATGTGGGCAACAATGACTATGTTACAACCTTCTTCAAAGCTAATTACCCTCCCTATGGCAGAGATTTCATCAACCGTAAACCTACTGGAAGGTTCTGCAATGGAAAACTAGCCACTGACATCACTGGTGATTAATTATGCGAACCCCCCCCCCCCTCTCTCTCTCTCTCCAGGCTCTTCAATCAGTGGATCATCTCATAAATGGTGGGTTGTATTTGTATCTCAAAAATCATACCAACCCATCGTCCTCTATTATGCAACAAACAGATTTTGTTGTTGATTGAAGAGTCAATGTGGTAATAATATGCATTGGGACTGTGTTCATTATCAACCTCTATGATCGATGTTTCATAATTCATAGATATCCTGCTATATATCTCTCTAAGAAGCTAAGTTATCCTTTTCTTTTCTTACTTTTGATTGCTGCAGCTGAGACTCTGGGCTTCACCACGTACCCTCCAGCCTATCTTAGCCCCCAAGCGTCCGGGAAGAACCTTCTAATTGGAGCAAACTTTGCCTCCGCTGGATCCGGCTACGATGACAAAACCGCTTTGTTAAGTGTAAGATTCATGCCCATTCTGCTCCAATCTACACGACAAAAACCGGTTTTTTTTGGGTCCTGTTTTCGTTTTTTCGTTGGTTGGTTAAGCTGTTAATGATTATGATTGTGGCGAGCAGCACGTGATCCCATTGTCACAACAATTGGAGTATTTCAAGGAATACCGGAGAAAGCTAACCAAGGTGGCTGGTATCAGAAAAGCGGCGTCCATAACCAAGGACGCACTGTACCTAGTGAGCGCCGGTCCCAGTGACTTTCTTCAGAACTACTACGTCAATCCCTACGTTAACAAAGTTTATACTCCCGATGAGTACGCATCGTACCTTGTCGGCATCTTCTCCAGCTTCATAAAGGTTTTTGTTTTCTCTTTCAATTGGTGATAACTGTGTGTGTGTGTGTATTTGACATTTGAGAGAGAGAGAGAGAGAGAGTTATGGCCTTATGGGTTGCTTCTGACTTGACATGCATATTGACATACTGTAATATTTTGAATTAATAGATGGATGTGTTATTGGGTTGTTTTTGTGTGACAAACAGAACTTGTATGGGTTGGGAGCTAGAAGAATTGGCGTGACTTCACTCCCTCCGTTGGGCTGCCTTCCGGCCGCAATCACTTTGTTTGGGTTTGGAAACAATGGATGTGTCACGAAGATCAATACGAATGCCCTTGGCTTCAATAAGAAGATTAATGCAGCCATGACACAGCTTAAGAAGGAACACTCTGACCTCAAAATTGCCGTCTTCGACATTTACAAGCCTTTATATGATGTCATTCGATCTCCTTCTAAATATGGTACTAATTAATGCTTCTATGTCTAACTGCTGCCTGCCTCTGGTCTTAATTATCTGTTACTAATTTAATTAAACAGGTTATGTAAATTTGATATCAGTTCTACTCTAAACAGTCTGGTCATCGTTCCGATAGTACGCATAACTGATCTGAACCACCACTCTGGCAGGGGGGGAGCCGGACATTCACCATTTCCGTTCAGACCTTTTCTGAAATGCAGCTAGGGAATTTAATTTAGAAAAACACACATTTCAACTACTCTTCACCTATCTGTAAACAAATCACCACTTAAACTATGTTTATGTTGATTCACCCAGGAAATTAGACTGAGCTCTAAGTTAGATAACGTACATGTGCATTAACTAAGCTTGACCTCCCCTATGTATGAAATATGAATAGCTTGATGGTGACTATAATTAATGTCCATTATTATATCATACATACAACCATTACATATGCCAACCCTTGTTATTTTTCTTGTGCACCACCTACTAGAAATGCAATAAATATATAAATGAATTGAATTCGATGGTTGGTAGCATTATGTGTTAATTAGGTGGGACTCAATAAATAATGGCGGGTCATGATGATCCGCTTCTGTTGATCCTTGTGTTGGGGGTGTATGAACAGGATTTTTCGAGACAAGGAAGGGTTGCTGTGGAACAGGAATCATAGAGACGACATCGTTTTTGTGCAATCCCAAGTCACCGGGGACATGCCCCAATGCCACCCAGTACGTGTTCTGGGACAGCGTCCACCCATCTCAGGCTGCCAATCAGGTTCTCGCAGATGCGTTGGTTCTCCAAGGCATCTCACTTATCGGATAACCCAAGTCCTAAAATGATTATATTTTTTCTTAGTGTACTGCTTTCCTTTTCTTTTTACTAGTCTGCTATCTGGGTGTGAATGTCTTTAATTTGTATGAAGGAAGATGTGGAAATATCTTTATAATAAATCTGTTTGTCTCTTTTCTTTTTTTTTTATGAAAATCTGTTATTGTCTTTTTGGAATTAAAGATGAAAATCTGTTATTGTCTGTTATCGTCTTTCTGGAATTAAAGATGTGGAAATATCGTAATAACAGTGGAATTAAAGATGAAAAAAGAATTCTACTTGGGATATGATGATACATTTGATACTGTAACGTAACTGAACAATGGTATCCGTCCCCTTTAGACAAAACAATAAACCAAAACGAACGAGTCAAAATGGAAACAGCAAAGTCGCCAGAAGTCGCTGACAATCGGAATACAACAGTAGAGGGTGGAATTCGGTATGTCACTTCTGACCTTAGGTCAGCACCGTGATGAGGTGGTATCTTGCAAAGCTCCACTACAGCCCAAACCAACCCGAGCATTTCCCTGCTTCAGCATTCGAACTCCTTTATCAGCCTGCACAGAAATTCCATCGAGTCCAGTAATTTAACAAGATCAAATTAATTAAGTCCAGTACTGTTAGTGCTTTCCTCCTTCCTGGTGCCAACTATTAACTTTTGGCCTTGAGAAATCAGGCCAACTAATTGCCCGACACTGCTTTTTGTACACAGAGAGAGAGAGAGAGAGAGAACCCTCTCTTCAGTTAATTTGCTGTGAAGGCGGAATTCTTAAGTGAAGGATTCCGTTCTAAAAAAATACTATATTTGTGAAGTGCACAAGTGTTTTAAACATGAGGGCGAACAGAATTCCCAATAACCTGTTTGTGGTTCCAAGGATCAGTAGCATCAACCAGACTTTTTATCTTCCTTTTTTCTTCGAATACTGTTTCTACACGGAAGTTGCTTTTCTTCCTCACTTTCTCAGACAAGTGCGGTTTCTGATTCTCAGAAGCCCCATGTTTCAGCTCTTCATAAGGGATATTTGTAGTTGCAGGAGCCTTCACCGTTCGCAAAAGGAAAAGGTACAGTGATAATTAAGAAGTGCATCAGAATGTAAACAATGGAATGCAGCAACAGATGGCATTTGCAGAACATGGGTACAAGACAGGTTGACAATAAAATTGAAGAAGAGAAATTAAGTTACAGGTTGTTTCTGAATCCCTTGCAGTGTAGTAATGGGTTGAATGCCAGAAAGCAAATAAGGATCATATGGAGCATGAAGAATTGATGGGCCCATGGTTTGCCTCTGCTGTGTTTGCTTGCACTGAAACTGAGAAATGCATTTAATTGGTTCATGTAAACGATTGAAAGAAAAACAGATTGTTAAATACAAAGTAATTGTTAGTAATTGTTTGGAAATATACCAATTAGATAATCCTTACCGACGTGGGAAGCATTGTTCCGTAGTACTGTTCTTTAGGGGTAAACAGAGCAGCCATATTCATACCAATTTGTTGATACATAATCGGCTGATGTGACATTTTGTAGGAGACACCATGAAGGGTTGGAAGTAATTCAGGAGCAAAATTAGAGACAGAAGAGGGCAAAAATCCAGAAGGATGTTGGGCAAATTGAAGGTGCGATGCAGATGCAGTACGATGGTTTTCCTTGCATTGAACCATGGTAACATAGAGTGACCTCCCTTCAAACATTTTTCCTGCACAGATAAAGAATTAAAGATTCAGACTTAACAACTAAGAAATGGTTGTATTTATATTATCAGCAAGAGAAACAAAGAAATTTAAGCTTACCATTAAGTGTATTCAAAGCTTTCTTTGCTTCCTTAGGAGTGGAGAAGCTTACAAAGCCAAACCCCTTGCTCCTCCCATCGTCATAGTGCATCACTCTTGCTGAAGTTATTTTACCACAGCTACTGAAAAGTTCTTGAAGCTTGCTATCATCAACAGACACATCAAGATTCTTGACATATACGTTTGAATTCTTCATGTTGTCAGTCTGTTTATTTTGCAACTCCTCATACGTATGCTTTAGAATCTTCTCCCGTTCAGCCTTCTTTTGAGCCCTTCCTACATAAAGGGTTTTTGATCCTAATTCACATAAGGAAATGGCATTAAAACGATCATACAAAAATCAGTCTATTATGAATCAACAATCCAAATAATTATAAGTGAATAAAAAATATTAAAAGAAATGTAGCATTACCTAGTTTTGCACCATTCATGGCCTCCACAGCCTTTTTAGCATCTTCTGCTGATTCAAAATTTATGAACCCAAAGCCCTTTGATTTCCCTTGATTATCTTTCATGATCACAACATTGCAGACCTTCCCAAAGTCAGAGAACTTGTCAAGAAGAAGATCTTCAGTCAAATCGTGATCCAGATTCTTCACATATAGATTTGTATATTTGAGTTCGCATGTGTTTTGCCTGTCGCTCTTCTTGATAAATTTAGATACGTATCTGGGAGGGAAGTTGAACAAAAGGCTCAAAACAATAACAGAGAAAATAAATAATGGAATAACGTAAACATAACAGAGAAAAAGAAAACGAGAATTCTTAGCCTACATTGTTGTTCAAATAATTAATAACCAAGAAATAATGGAAACTAAGATATTTATACATGGAGACAAAAGGAGAAAAGAAATCGTACAGTTTCTTCCCATGAAGTAGAGTATCATGAAGAGCCTTGATAGCAGCTAGGGCAGATTCCTCTGAATCAAATTGAACAAACCCAAAACCCTTACTTTGCCCATTTTCCTCAGCCACCTTGCAAGAAAGAATATTACCGAATTTGCTGAAGATCTCCTGCAAGCCAGCACTGTCTACAGAGTGGTCGAGGTTCTTAACGAAGAGATTTGCGACTCCACTTTTTCTTGGTAGAGGGTCTTTCTGCGACCACATGATCCGCATTGGTTTCCCAATCAAGTATGTGTGATTTAGAGAATCTAAGGCCTTTGAAGCTGATTAAAAGAGAAGGGAAATCACCATTAACGCGATAGAAGATAGAGAGAAAAAAAAAAAAAAAAAGAAAGTTTAATAAACAACAGCAAGATTTTCTTTTAAAAATGCCGAGCATTACAAAATTAACAAAACATGATAATAAGACCGAATTCACCATAAAAGGAGCAGAAACGAAAACGAGACCCGAAGAATGATTGAGTGAAGCAATCTAAAGAGAGAATAAATAATGCACAGTTCGCCACAAAGACGTACAAAACCAAAGAGACCGAAAAAAAATAATAACAAGAGCTCGAGAGCTCAATGTAACAGAAGAAACAACACCATGTTAACGATAGACCATCCAAGAAAGAGATGGAGAATAAAGAATTCGAGATTACCCTTATCATGGGAAATGAAGTTGACATAGGCGTATCTAAGGGATCTCCCGGAGGAATCCCTGCAAAGGTGAATAGAGGTAATAGAACCGGAGAGGCTAGTGAAGGCCTCGTAGAGCTCCCTTTCAGACACTCGGGGGTCAAGATCTCCGACATAAAGCGAAGTAACCTGCAGAGGAGTAGGAGGCGGATGAGCTTCCGCGGCCGCCATATTTGCTACTCTTGTTCTTGTATGAAACTCTAATGTTTGTAGAGAGAGAGAGATGCCGAGACAAGTTTTTTGAGCGCCAAATTAGACTCTTTTTGCTTATTTGAGAGAGAGAGAGAGAGAGAGAGAGCCGATGCATATATAACTGTCACGAGGGGAAGCAGTTACTTTGTAAATTACGAATTTGCCACTATTAAACAAATAAATAATTTAGGCCGCGTTTGGTTTTTCAGAAATTAATGTAAGAAAATATTGTGAAAAAAAAGGTAAAAGACTAAAACATACCCTCAATTTTCATAAATTGAGTTAAATATATATCTTATGACTCTTTTATCTGTTTTTTTCTTTCAAAATTTTAAAATACTCCCTGAAATTTTCAAATTCATGTGAGTAATGGGCATATGGATAAAAAACACCAAAAGCTAACAAATGAAATTTTGTTCATTTCTATGGGTTACTCTGTCTTAGAGGGGGGAGAGAGAGAGAGAGAGAGTAAAACGCATTTCTTGGGGCAAGGAGTACCCAATTTGAAAGTTGAAACAATCCCCTCTCTCTTTTCTTTTTTCTCCATGTTCTTTTTCTACATCACTTCTCTTGTTTCCTCTCTAAAAGGGCACAATAGGATTTTAGAAATTTTAAATGAATTCATGTGATGTTTTATTGATGGAAGCTATGTTTAATTACAACGAGATCAGCCCACAAGGTATATTTAACTCAATTAATGAAAACTCAAGGTATTTTTAAGTCTTTTATCCATGATTTTTAAAACTAAATCGGACCAAATGGTTGGACCGGAAAAACCAGTTTTTCTTTTTTTATTTTTTTGTTAAAGTGGGCCAACTGTTTGGTTCGAATGATTGGACCATTCAACCCGATAACCAAACCCCTAACTAGTTCGGTCTCCGGGTCGATTTTAAAAACCATGCTTTTACCCAAAAAAAAAGTAAAAGACCAGAAGATAGTTATTGAAATCCCTTCCCACACAACTTTTCAATTTATTTATACGAATACAATGGTCGGTTGGAACATGGTTGGCATTGTGTGTTGGTAGCTGATTTGAACTCTGAAGATACTACTCAATTAGAAGGGCAAAACTGTCCTTGAGAAAATATATTCAACTAAGGAGTAAGGCCATGTTTGGGAATGCTTATTCAAAATAAGTGCTTATTTGGGCCATTAACCACTTATTGGCATTTGGGAAATAAGCCTGAAATAAGCGATTATTTTAAAAATAAGGGCTTATTTTTTAAGCCCAAATTTCCATCTTATTTTAAGTGCTTATCGTATAAAGCACATTCATTTTTTTCTTTCAAAATTATCTGATGGAGGCCCATCACAAGGCCCATCGCATCCTAGGGGCGGCAGCTCCTAGGATAAGGGCAAGTCAAGATAAGGTCCAAGAATGATAAGGCAAGACTTCCAAGATTAGCAGGAATTCAAGACTCCAATCAAGATCCAACAAAGACTCCAAGAAGCATCAAGAAATCCAAGACTCCCAGATTCATGCATAAGGAGAGCTAGGGAGAYCGGACGGTGGAAGATCAAGCCCAAGAATTCTAAGAGGGTTCGACCTTATCAAGACAGCTCAAGAGGATCAAGATCAAGATCAAGATCAAGATCAAGATCCATGTTCTTTCCTAATTATTTTACAATTTCTCAATGTATTATAAATACTGCTATTTCCCAGAATTATTAATCAATTTCATACTTCAGATTTTCTAAGTTTCTTCTAGTTCTCTTCTTTGAGTTCTCGCCACCTTTTCTCTCTCTTAGAGAAATCGGTGTTCTTCGCTAGAAGCTAGCGATCACCCGATGCTTGCATAGCCAGCTCCGGTTTCCATTGTTTCCACGCTGCGTCATTATCCCTACTTGGATTTTAAAATACCACTTATAAAATTATCCATAGTTGAATTTTATAAAAATACTTTTATGAAAGTAATAAAAGTGCTTTTGTAAAAGTGTTTTCATAAAAGTTCTTTCATAAAAGTGTTTTTATAAAAGTAATTTAATAAAAGTGCTTTCAAAGGGTAAATTTTGAAAATTTGAAAGAAAATGAAGAACAAAATAATTACAAATTCTTATTTAAGTGCTTATTAGAAAAAAAGACTACCGAATGCCCAATATAAAATGAGTGCTTGTTTTAAAAAGTAAACACTATGTTAGGTGCCAAATACAAATAAGTGATTATTCGAATACGCACTTATTTTTAACTTAAACACTCCCAAACATGACCTAACTGTCTTTGTTGTACTATTTTGTACGAATAAATTAGAAATATCAATAAATTCACTTTTTTCACTTTATGAAGTATGAACTCAAATGGAGTCTCTGAGTCCCTCTCCTCAGGCCTTTAGGTACAAACCACATTTCCACATTTGAAAACTGCCCATTCTAGAAAATTAGTTTTGTATATATCAGAGAGCCCGGGAGATGAATCATGCGAGGGGACTCCGACGGTCAAGTTAGTTAGAAATTGACAAGGTAGAAAGAATTAGGTGAAAGAAAATCAAAACAGATCTAGTAAGTTTGTAAAGAAAAGAGTGTACCTTATGAGGGTAAGGGGTCGCCCTTATATAGACCTTTGAGGCCTGGTGTAGCAGGCCCAACAAGTTTGGAGATGATAAGACTTATCCGCTCGTTGTTTATGGAGAACTCTCACATGGCGCCATGGTTGCCCTTATTCGGTTCCCCATGAAGGAAAGGAAATTGGGCTTATCGCTACTAGAAGGGCATCGTGTCCGCATGCTTTTTGGAGGCGTTAAGTAGTGCGAACAGATAAGGGAGAACATGCCACATAGGTCAGAATGGTCCTGAGGCATGATCCCCTAGGTTGTGGGTTGTCCAGGTCAGAGAGGTAGTTCGACACTCGTGGCAATTAGTGGACGTACGTGTCTGGTCACATAGACCCGTTATATTAGTCTACCTCCCAGCCAGGTCAGGTCTTGTTCAAGCTGCATGAGCTGATCTGTTGAGGATGTTCGAGTGATGTCGTGTGGCGTATAATGTCGAGGTGTCGTAAGACGATTCTTGGTCACCACATGACAGTTCATGATTGGAGGGTCATTTTACCCTTCATCAATACAAAATAAGCCTATTTTTATATTAAAAATTAAAACCTTAATTGTTTAATATTAGTTTTGTGAAAACAACATTGTGAAATGGGCCATATACCCAATATGGATTGTGGGGTTGAACATGTGGCAAATCCAAGGATCAAAATTTCGCAATGTACAGGTTAATATATATTGTATCGCTGGGTCAGTTCCACTAATACATAAAATATGAGAAGTTTTGGGGTATGACCAGTTTCAAGGGGTATCCAGGCCTTATACTGACCTAGTGTTAGAATATTTTGAACCTCGCAAACCTAATGTTTGATTACGATTTGGATTGGCCACAACATCCCTCTACACATAGCAGAAACAAGGGGGATTTTTGCAAGGAAGACCCTAAAAACAAAAATAGATGCTTTTTTTTTTATATTTACATATATACATATCTTTCACTATTAATTGTTAAAGTAAATTAAAACTATTTATGAGTAAGAATGTTTTTCCTTTCTTTCAGTTTTTATTATACTAATTACTGTCGATATTAGTTATATATCATCATTTGTTTCATTTCTTATATCTCATATTTACTTAAACACCATAAAACAATTGTTAAACGATATTTCATGACTTTTTTCTTAAATTCTTTCATGGTCCTCTGACACAAAAGTTATTGGGTGGAAGGGGGGTCTTTAGACCTTGGTCCCCCAAACTTTTTTTTTTTCGAATAAGAAAGATATATCCCCCCCCCCCTGACCCAGTTCGACTTGTTGAAACATCAATTCCAACTTTAACCTAATTCATTGTTTTTTCTGAGTCAATTCAATTTATTTGGATTAGATTTTCAGGTTGGGGTTCAATTGGAACGACTTATTTACTTTATTTTGGAGGATTGGACGATACCTCAATCTTAACCAGCCCGAAATAGGGATCATATTTATGTTTTTTAATATTAACGTGAAATAATAAAAAAAAAAAAAAACTTTAAACCAAATTTTTTGGACTGGATTTGAGATAGACAATACTTCAAAGAGAAAATTCCTAGCTCCCCACTGCTCAGACAATTTTTTTATCAGTCCAAATGCGCATATCTAAAGCCTCTTATCAAATTCCTATTCAACTTCACGGATCACTTGCTACTCACTAATAACAAGAAGATGTCTTAAGCGCTTGTTAGCAATGCTTATTCGTCCCCAAAAGAGGATATTCTCATTTTCTTTTAGAACGGTGAATCATACTCACGAATCATGACTCCTATGGGCTGAACTGAAAGAGCTGGTAATTTAGATGATGATTTTCTCTTCTTCATTTCCTATGAAAAGCTAGACATGGAAATACGTTCAACGACATTTAACTAAGCTCCATCTCGTCGCTAACAAAGCTACCTTAGCTGTGGTGAGCTTATGGACCGCATATTAATAGAGGCTTGAAAAAATTCAAAAAGCTTACTGTTAAATTAAGCTAATGAAGCCGCTCTTTTTGCTCCTTTGCAATTGCAATTTTAGTAAGAATCAAGGTTTCTAAGGAGGATTAAGCAACTTGGGCTGCGAAGGAAACGGATTAATACTGTTATCTATAGTTCTGTACTGCTAGAACAATTCCAGGACGGTAATGTTTATGTCTGATTATTACCATAGCAACCAATGTATTTGTAGAAACATTGCTTTTTTTGGCAGATTTCATGGGGCTACACAACAGGGGGTAGCCCATCCCCCATCTCCTTAACCCCAAACCCTGGTGGCAGCACGATTTGATCCTAGATCTTTGATACAAGTCAGAGATCCTACATTCCTACCAACTGAGCCACCATCAGTTGGTGCAATTTTTCTGACAATGTAGATCAAGGAATTCAGTAGCATCGTTATGTTCCTTAACAATGTTAAATAAGAATGATTTCTATCACATAAGTTTACAATGGAAAATGCTATAACTTAGAGCTACAGTCATGGTCGGGTGGATAGACTGGCTTTTATTGCAAACCAGGTTGTTTTAGGTAAATTTGAACAATGAAGTGATCTTTCAGTACTACCGATTCATTACACTAGAAGATTTGAGTGAGTGTATTTTGTAACTCCCAGGATTCCCCAACTATCCAATGCTATTAAAATAAATACAGTGGCAATGGAGAAGGGGAAAAAATTCAAGGCAATCTTCTGCTATAGAGATGGAGAAAGGTTGAAGCCTGTACTGCACATCAATGACAACTGAATGATGCTGCCTTTCGGTGTGAGGTTTGAGTCCCATGAGAACTATTCAAAATTTCAGCAAGTTTCATAAACTCTAACTTCTCAATCGTATCTTGGTCATGAACAAACTGATCTTCTTGAGCCAAGACAAAAGCACTTCCATTACCCAGAGCAACCTTGTTCCCCCATGAGGATCCTAAATCACTGTTGCTCCGTAGACATTCTACTTCACTTGCATCTTCCAGGGGCAAATTCCTTGACCTTTGAATATCCAAAGAATTCCTTGATGAACCCTGAGAATGAAGGATTCTATTCCTCTGTCCATAATTTCTTGTTTCAGTTGCTCTAAGAGGGGTTGCCACAATACTTGAGACGTGGTGAGGAGAAAGGGTGTCACAAGAATAAGTCCCCATCATATCCTCAAATGTAGTGGTGGAGACAGATTCCCTCCTTCCTGATGCAGTAAAACTTACAGGATTTCTGTCCATCGATGAAGTCTGCTCACTGTTATTCATGCTGTTTCCCAGTACTAAATTCTTAAGCTTCCTAAAGAATTTCCTTTTGGATGAACTGTTGGTCTTCGTGGCAGATGAAATGTCACAGGAAGAATCATCAAAATCACCACATTCTGTGTTATTGGAGGCCTGGGATGATGACCAATACTCAGCATCAAAGTCTACAGGGATGCTCTTTTCACGAATCCCCTCCGAATTTGCATATTCAAGTACAAGCTGCTTAACCTTTTCCTCTGACTTAGGACTCAAAGTCTTGCTTAGGTCCCTTGCTACTGTTTTACCATGAGGCTGATAATTTCTTAACTCATATCGCAGGCAAGCATTCACCCACCTGAGATAGACCAACTCCTCAACATCTGCATAGCGACCTGTTTGGAGTCTCTCAAGCTCATTTTTTAAATCTTCATTTTCCTGTCTCAAGCGGTGGTTATCTTCATGCAATGCTTCAACCTGTAATGAAAAAATCAGCTCAATCAATACAAGACTAATAAAAAAACAAGAAAACTGACAACAAAGATCAAATAATGAATGAGTTAATTGCCTCTGGATCCTCTAGAACAGAAGAGGCAAGTATTTGAGTGGACTCCAACTTCCTAGCCAACTCAGAATTTTCGCACCATAGTCTTGAGTTATCTTCCTTGAGCTTTGTTAATTCATCCTCTAAATCCTCTAACCTCTGCAGCTTCTTTTGGATATCAACATCAATCTGGGTGGCATTTTGTTCCTGGTCTTGTAAATTGGCAACCCTCTGCTTAAGAGTGTAAAGCTGTTCCCTATATTGCTCTGCATCAGACCTTATCTCCCTTTTCAGCAACTTTAATTGTGCTCTTGCAGATTCAAGCTCAGATATCACTCTTGCATAATCAGCCACTTGTACCTCCAGGCTCTTGTTATCGGCTTGCAAGGACTCGATCTTGAGAGTGAGAAGCTTGGACTCTGTGTTGCTAATCCTTAACCGATTCTGGAGCTCCGTCACAATAGCATCTTGTTCCTTAAGGCCATGGTACTCCAATAATTGAATCTCAAGGTTCTTCTCTCTCTCCCTTAGGACTCTGACCGTATTCCTCAGGTTGATGATCTCATGCTCAGTTTCCTCCTTGTTTTCTGCTTTTTTAAATGTTATAGCTGTCTCTTCATCATTCCTTGGAGAAATACCAGAATTGGTGGCAGGTAACTCAAACGCCTTGAGCACAAGCTCGTTAAACCCTGGCAAAAGTAGTCCCTCTTCATCTCCAGAATGTCTACTGCTTGGAGAGAGGCCAACAGTGTAATTATCAAATATTATCTTCTGATGAGATTGGGCCTCCTGTAACAGGGCTGATGGTTAGTAGTTGATTTGCATCAACCCGTTATATATGCAATCACAATTCACTACTGTCCAGGTGGTATTAACCAGAGAAACGAAAAGGAAGAAGAAACACAACTTTTTTATCAGTTCAAAGAAAATATAACTTTATTACTTTGTTTTAATCAGGCCAAGATTCTTGTTATTTTGGAAATTGAGTAGAAGGACAAGAAAAAAAAAGGAAAAAAGAGAAACCTAAATCTCTTACTTTAATTCACAGTCTCAGCCAATAATTCAGGTTTATTTTAGAGAAATTACTAAAGATGGTCTGTGCTAAAAACCAAGGTTGATAATCAAAAGTCCGGTAAAAGTCACCCTATAACGTTTCAATGTAATTGAGTAATTCCTTGCTGAACACAGAAAATTCCCTGTAAACTCGTATGGCAACCAGAACCACCCATAATTGGAAACAATCTAGAAACACAATTGAATCTATATCCATTCACAGCAGCTAATTGCTCCAAGAACAATAACGTAATTGAGTGTGTTGCCGTTGATTTCGAAGGGGTGGTAAAAAGAAAAGGAACCTTACATGGTTTTGGGATGCAACAACAGCAACATCACAGGAACTGAGCGTTGTTTGAGCGCAACAAGTATCATCCTCCATACCGGCTTTTCCACTTGAATTAACTTTTTTCCCGTCAACTGAACGAAAAAAAAAAAATTATGGGATCATTCATCAGTAATGGGCCAAAAAAAAAAACTAAAAAGCAAAGACATAAATAGATATCAAAGGATAAACATAAAAATAAGGAACCTGAAGATGGAGAGGAGGGAGGAAAGGAAGAGGGACGGATCCTTTTGGTTCTGAGATGGGAATAGAGAAGCCCAGCAAAGGAGAGAGCTAAAGCCACTCCGAATTTCAAAAGCAGAGGACTTATGCCCCTCTTATTATTCATCATCGCATAATCATCACGACAGCAATCTCCGGTTATAGTTAATTGTTACCATATAAAAACCAGATATCATATACCCTCGTCGCCCATCTACATACGCAGGAGTAGAAATTTCTTATAACCTATTCTAAATTAAACCAAAACTAGCGGAGAAAAAAAAGAGAATTATATTCCCCCGTTGATTCTGTACTACAGAGTAGAGAAGAGAAGAAGAGAATAAGAAGAAAGAATATTCACCTTTTTACACACTAGCTAAATTAAATGGAGATGTACAGTAAGAGCAAAAAAAAAGCAGGAAGAGAGGCCTCTGAGTCTGGGGTCGATCACGATCACTTGGGTATGGATTCTCTTGTCTTTACAATATGATCGTCGTCCCTTCCTGTCTCCCTTTTTATAATTTGGTAACTTGGAGGCAACAGTTGGGTAGGAACTAGAAAGTCCCAAAATAGGAGAACCAGATCAAAAAAGAAACAATAACAACAACAACAGTATTGGATGTAAAACGTGAATGAAAAGAGTTTCTTCAAGGTGGATCAGATCTGTTCTGAGTTGTCAACACTCAACAGCATCTAAACAAAGATGGCAATCAACTTCCAGCTCTTCTGTCTTTCTCTCTCCTAATTTTAGTAAAGGGGGAACCGTTTGGGGTTGGTTCTTACTTCTAACTTTCAAACGCGGGGAAGGGGACGCCAACCTACATGGCTGCACCGAGCTCTCCATTCCTTCCTCCACTCTAATAAAGTTTATATGGAGACATGCACGGGTCCATCAGATCCGACCTACATCCAACAAACAAAATTAAAAAAAAGAAAAAATAAACAACCAGGCGAGGCAAGAGACAGCCACAGCCAACTATATGCAACTTTAAAATGTATGATGAGCTCAGCATCAGGCCATCAGCTATGGATGAAAATTTTGTCTATCCCTGGAGTTTTGACCAAACTGTATCAACTCAACTCCAGTGTCCCTAAAGCACTCTGGAATCTGGATTCTGGGATTAATTCTCTTCTCTACTTCTTTTCTAGAGTTGTCACTTCCCAATCAAACCGAAACTGCAATAATGTAAAGTTATCATCATCCTCTCCCCTGACGTTTGTTGTATTAGCTTTACTAAAAAAAGACAAAAGGAAAGACGGTTAGGGCACGAGAGAGAGAGATATTCTAGGTGCGAACTGTGAAGCAAAGGGATAAAATAAAAGCATAAAGAACGCAAATTTTTGAGTGAGACATAATCTGCTGCTGCTGCGACCGTAGTCGGTCGCACGCGGCTCCTGGTGAATGGCGCAAACGCCCGCGTTTAAAATTAAAAAAGCGTAAATTACACCGTACTATGGTCTATGGCGCGTAGTGACAGGTATCCCTGAATTTTCATTTGCAATAAAAACTCCTGAACTTTTCCTTCATCATAAATACCTTCTTCCATTATAGTTCCATCAATTAACTTTCATAGAGATTTTTATTCAGCTGTTTATTTTTTTTAAATTCATAAATTATCTTTTTTTTATTTATTTAAATGATTTATTATTCAATTGGTTTATTTTTTAAATATAACATTGAAATCATCTTGGTTGCTCCAATAGATTCTTATAGATTTTTGGTGAAATTCAATATTCAAATGAGGTTTCTTTTTTATAGGTATAAATTTATGGTTTCATTTGGTTTTTCTTGATTCAGTGAAATGAATCAAGAATTAAAAAAAAAAAACAGTAAAAATGATTTTAGAGAAATGGAGATACTTTTGCTTAATGAAAGTTTAAAAGAAAAGGACAAGAAAAAAAAAGTTTAAATGGACATTTTGATAACTTTAACACATTCCATAATTTGATTTAACGTTCGGGAAGGGAGAGGTCATTATCGCAAATAAAAATTCGAGGGACATTTCTCATTGACACAATTTACCCAATGAAAAACCTATGAATGTGATGCCTCAAATTTGTATACCCATGGTGTTTGCATGCAACTACAGTCATATCAGATTTCTTCACGGCCAAAGCCTGATATGAATGAGGCTGGCTACATAAAATTGGTTTCAGAAGCGATTTGAAAATACCTCTGACCTCTCTCCATGAATTTAGTGTATATAAATAAGTTGATTAGTTATAGGAGATTTGGGCTCCTCTCATTCCAGGAAGGAGGAAGGAAAAGTAATAGCATATTCCTTGGTTATTAAAAACCCTAATATTACGTTATATATTGTATCGTATCGTATGGTTAGGACACCGAGCACGCGTTTAATTTGTTGATGCATCATCATGCTTTGTAAGCTTCTTTGGTCAAAAGTCAAATTAACCAGAATAAATAGCGGATCACTGCAATACTGTATGCTTCCGGCCCATAGATCATATTTATATATTTCCTTCGACTTTTTTTCTTTGCACCAAATGGTTGTGATCTTCTGATGGTTGACACTTTACTTTGACCAGTCGGTTGCACGAGTAGGACACATTGAGCTCATCCATGGCATCAGACGGACCCAGATAAAAATCTAATTCTATATATAAAACTCCAATTAGGGTTTTAGGATTTACCCTAAATGTTAATATTTAAGCAAAAGAAACCCACTTCATGGATTAATACTAACTTGTTAAATATTAACAGTTGTCAACATTTATTGTTAATGGAATTTAATAAATAAATAAATGAAGTGGACAGAAGGATTATATAGTTTCACGTGTAGGCCACCTACTTACCCTCCACGCCAGTGTTTCCAATCCCTCAAGTTGTTAACACCCTTAAAATGAAACTTGCTTGACCTACCTCAAATTGAATGCTCACGACAGCGCAACATGCCATCACCAGGTTCAAAGTAATTATAAGAGACTAGTGTAAGAGAATGTGATATGTATGTATCTAATTATCGTCTTATTGGTTTTAAGAAGTCATTTTACATTTTACATGGAGAACTGTAAAATGTCATTATTAGAAGGGGGTAATATTGTCTTATCCACCCAAGGGCGGAGCTAAGAAAATTTTGGGAATCAAAACCTACGGTGAATTGGAGGGAAAAATAAATATGGGTGGTCATAGGGGGGCCAACCCATTGGGGTGGGGAGTGGGGGAGGGGAAAATGTACATAGAACAGTGTATTGCAAGTGGGGATTTTTGGAACCATAAGGGGGGCCATGGCTCCCCTGGGTCCCCCTGGCTCCGCCCCTATATCCACCTAAGATAGGGAAAAGAAACTTACCATGGATTCCATAGGGTAACTGCAAAGGAAACCAAAAAATACACAAGGATTGTTGGTCAAGGGAAACCACAATTCATTGACCAACTTCCACTCCCCTTCTTTTACTGAAAAACCAAATGGGACTTAAGGACTAAGCATATATGATATATGGTATTTGGATTTAACTTATTACAGTCAAACATTATACATGCGAAAGTGAATAAGTTAATGTTATATAATGGAATTTAACATTTTATGGTCTGCACCAAAATTGAGGCAAGCATTCACTTTATTTAGTCTAAATATCTGAATAAGCTTTGGAACATGATGATGCATAATCTGGCCGGTCTTAGCTGTCGATGATCTTGCCTCTGAACTGAGTAACGGGGACCTGAAACGGAAGGAGAAGAGAAGCTCCGGGGAGAACCCGGCGTAAGGGCTCCGAAGCTCAAGTTAGAATCCTTCAAAGGAAAGAATAACCAGATAGCGCGAAAGTTAGCATACCTCGTCCCTGGGGGGTAGAAGCCTTTTATAACCACCTCGCGCACTCACTTCCAGGCCTCCGTCAGGTCGGGCATGATTACTTCTGAACTCTTGCCAGTTCAGGTGTCATTTCCTCTGGTCGGACAGAACCGTCACTGTTCCTTTTGTCGGAACCGTCTCTGCGGCTACTGACGACGGTTGTAGGTGGCGGTGGCAGGAAGCCATTTGAAATGCGGCTGTCAGGCGTCAGATCCCAAATCAATCAGGTACGTCGCCCTTGGGTAAAGACGTCCTTGGTGTCGGGTACGTTTGGCTGGCCTGGTGCTTTGGAAGTGAAGTGTTGGAGTGGCGAGCGAGGTGCCTTGAGTTCGGTTTGGAGTGTTCCGAGCTGCCACGGGTTGTGAGGCTTGGGGCCCAGTATAGTTCGTGCTCTTTGCAGGGAGCTCGGGTTCTCAGTAGTGAGCTCGCTCTAATAGCGAGCTCGGACTCCCAGTAGGGAGTTTGTTCTTAATAGGGAGCTCGGGTTCTTACTTGGGGAGCTCGGACCCTTAACAGGGAGCTCGTTCTTAACAGGGAGCTCGGGCTCCTAGTAGGGAGCTCGGATTTAGGGAGCTCGGGTTCTTAGGGAGCTCGGGCTCCTAGTAGGGAGCTCGGATTTAGGGAGCTCGGGTTCTTAGGGAGCTCGGGCTCCTAGTACCGAGCTCGGACTTGGGGAGCTCAGGTTTTAGGGAGCTCGGACCTTTGACAGGAGCTCGGGCTCCAATCAGGGAGCTCGGACTAAGTACAGCGGTCTGGAGTTCGGGCTCGGTAGTGAGTTTGGACTTGCTTCCGATGTTCGCTTTGGGTGCTCTACTGTCCCGAGCTGCTTGCCTTTGCCACGTGTCGGGCGATCGCGAGGTTGGGCCAAATTTCCCTTCATCAGAAATGATAAAAATAATTCATATAAATATAAATCTTTTACTCAAATTCTACAACACGATCAATTGTAAATAAGGTATAAATACATAAGAAATGCATACTTATTAAGTAACAACATATAACTTTAGCTATCACAAGAAAACTAATCTTTGGCAGTGTATGTTCAACAGTTTTGGCTATGTACAGGGCTCTCCCTATATTGACATGCTAGTAGTTTGCCCAGTTATGCATTCGTCATGAATATTGTTTTTTCTTTTTTTTTTTTTGTAAGCTTGTCATGAATATTGTTATACTGAGTTTACATGAACTAATATGAGGGTGTTTGGTTCCGTTAACGTTTTTTCAGTAAACATTTTGTACTTGTGTGACTGCAAAACCGAAAATCACATTTAATGAGGGCGTTTATGACACATAGGCGCCATTAGGCACCATATCAGCAAAATGCCAATAAACACCAACCTGTTTCAGGAAACTTCAAAATGAAACTTATTGAAATGGGAGAGGCGCACAGAAACCAAAGTTTGCTTTTACAAACTTCAATACACACAAATGCAATTAATGAGGCATTTGCTGGCGAGGCACCTATGTGGCACCATCAATAAATGTAAAACCAAACATATACTATGTCTTAAGGGGGAGTCCTGTGGACAGTCAGGCTGTCAAACTTGGACAGCCAAATTTTTCTTGGCTACCACTCCCTCTTATTTGGAAAGCGAAATGTATAGATTTGATTAGGTTCAATCATATATAGGGCCTACTAACTGGTCACAGCTTGCGTCTCCTTGTAAAATCCAACGGAGAAAGGAAAAAAAAAAAAAAAAGCTGTCTAAATTCAACAGCCGACAGAGCTTTCCCTACACCGTAGTTCACTCTCCTTGACCTTGTAACGGTATCAATGTTGAATACGTTGCTGGAGCTCACATTACCTAGATCACACAGAACAATTCAGCTCCAACCCTCAGTGAAAATGGAACATGCCCTGGTCTGAAATAAATTCAATATATCAGATCAGTTAGGTTTTTTATTTCAAATGAGAGTGGTGGCATAGCTGAGCTATTGATCAGTGATCAGAGGATCTAGCTATTAAGCATGGCCTATAGAGTACACCAACACAATAGAGATGGTGGAGCGGAATATCACTATATCAGACAGTTGAAGGAAATAGAGAAATATCACATTCCAGAGATATCTCAAGAGGCAACATTCGTTGTATTTCTTCCAGCATTTACTACTGTTTTGCTTCAGGATAGACATAGTAGAACACAAAATGGGCTAACTTGCGTCACGGGCCTTGCATTTAAATTGTTGATGTTACAGACCAAAGTTGAAATTTATACCAAATTCTGTGGCTCCAACTACTTCATTTATGAGCTTCTTCTCATCAACCATAATTGTCCATCGCCTTTCCAAGAACTCTTGTGATCCAGGTTTCTTCACGTTTGCAGTGGAGAAGGCAGAAATGTTGTCGGCCAGATTGTGCTGCCTAATTAGCCGAGTGATTGTATAACGTCAGGATCATTGGGGTTTGTCAAGAGTAAAATCCAGATTTCGTCCTCACAAAAATGTTCTCACAACACTTCACAGTTGTGCATTGATAATAGTCTAATATCTTCCCATGAATGAAAACATGCAAGTGCGGAGATGTTTCCAATGCACAGCTGCAAAATGTTGTGAGGAGGATGATGAGAACACCATTTCTGTGAGGATGAAATCCCATCTCTCCAGAACGTGGCAGCTCCTCGCCCCTCGGTAGCCATTTTCTAGTCACGCAGGAGCAACTTAAATGAGGATAGTTGGGTCCAAGCCTTACAAAGCACCCTTCATTTTCCTAGAATGATAAATGAAGACGGTGTTTTGCTTAGATTGACAAACAATACCAACCAAACTTTTCATCTAAATCTAATGCTGGGACCGGAAGACCCATCAAATCTAACCCCAACACAAGGGCAATTGAAGCATCCCAGACAGATACTTCAACAAACCCATGTTTAAGCAATTGTGCTTGCAAAGTAAGAAGCCTAAATCCAATGGATAGAACAAAGCATAGCGGTAGGTATATTTTAAACCCTAATGGATAGAACCAATAAAGTAAGAAGCCTAAATCCAATGGTCCATTAGTCATATTCAATTGTGCTTGCAAAGCATACATAAATTCGATTACTAAACAAAAAAATTCAAATTCTAAAGAACCTGTACGTTAATTCTGGGTGACTCAAACAATTGAACAGATCAAAATGTCAAGATTTTTCAGCATTAATTTCACGGAAAAGGAAATTGAAGAATGAGGCAAATTGTGAACCACGTAAATCAAATAGAACCAAGTGCTAGGTTGCGGTAGATCAAGAGATTGCAACCTTCATCTCCATAAATGTTTTTGTTGTGACCCAGTAGTTGTGTCTTCTGGATGAAGACCTGACAAGTGTTCACATGATACAAAATGATTTAAGAGAAATTAGTTCATCCTCAAAGACAAGAAAAGAATAAAAAACAATGACAGTGGAAGCTTCACAACAAAGAAGTTAAAAAAACCGTACATCACTATTTTCCAAATTAAATTGTCTTAATGATCAAAATATGTGAATTTCAATATCCAGAACATTATAAATGTTTAAATACAAGACACGCTTTAGTAATTCCTCATATGTTATAACGAACATAGACTATTCTGGAGACAGAGAATTTGGAAAGATGACACAAATAAATCAAGTAGAACCTAAGTCCTTTTCCACAAAGAATCACAAATGTGATACAGTGATAACTCCCAGATACCATTCAAATGTGTTAAGAATTCCAATTTCTAGGCCATAGTATTACTAATGCAGGCATTGACACAAGTAGGGGTGGACATGAATCAAGCTTTTCACGAGCTATTCGAACTCGGCTCGTAAAAAACTTGACTTGACTCACAGTCAAGCTCGAACATTTGAGATTTTGAGCTCAAGTCTCTAGCTCAAATCGAGCCAAACCTCAGTTTTTTTATGAGCCGAGCTCGAATAGCCAAATTCAGCTCAGCTCAGCTCGAATCCACCCCTAGACACAAGGAAGAACCAATGTAGAGTTTTTTTAGGTACTATATAGTACACATTAGAGGGGAACCAAGTGTCAGGATAGAACAAAGTGCACGTGAAGCCCACTGGCCATACCACAAAGAGTTTGCAGTTCTGCGGGTTTGATCCCACACCTCCTATTTTAGAGGGATACTAACTGGCCATCTCACCTACTGGGTCATTGGAAAAGAACCAATGGAGAGAGAAACCAGTTTTCCCAATTACCCATCCAATGGCAACTTTGTAATTTTAGGATGTTTTGAATTTAAGGTTTCTTTAGTTTTTAATTTATTTTCTATTTTTTGTGTCTCGAGAACAAGGCTTTAAGTCCTTGAAATTTTCTATTCTTGGGAAAAATTAAAATCGCAACTTATGGTAATTTACCATTGATTGTCATTCCCATGATTACTACTAATAGTAAAATTGTAATTTATTATTTTTAGTGATTCCTAGGACCAACATTGGGTAATGGCCTTTTAATTTCTGATTTCTATAAAATAAGCTAATTGCGGTAGGATTAGTGAAGTGCTATTGAATTTATTTTAGGTGTTGGAGTCCTTATTTGAGTTTCCCTATGGGTTATCTATTGGATTACCTAAGCAGTTGGAATTGGTTTTAGATCAGTCTCCCTCCCTCCCTCCCTCTCCTAAAGGTGCATCTTTCTTTTCTTTCTCTATATTTCAATCTAAATCTCTTCTCACAATTCGGGTCATTAATTCTCCAGTATTTATTTCAAATTTCAAGGACATAATGTAAGAGCTAGAGCAGAAAATTTGTTGATTACGGAATGGAATCCAAGGGAAAAATGAACAGTTACCTAAACAGCACTATTCTTTGTTCAAGACCTTGGGAACTTTGATATATGGCTCCTCAAAGCTTGGAACTGCAGCTAACATGGCCTCCCTGTTTCCGAAAAGCGAAGTTACATTGAGCTTGATTAAGGCATAATGCTCATCAAATTCTGCTGGTAACGTGTTAAAGTGCTCAAGAAATAAGATTAAAATCTTCACCACCTATTCTCAAATGTTTCAGGCACATCATTCCGCAGATTGTCACCTTCAGTATCTGTAAACAAAGAATATAGAAGCTTAGCATGAGGGACCAGAGCCACATCAAATTGCTTGTACATAAGTCACCTAAGGCATTAATTTTCATGAATGCATAAACACAAAACAAACTTTGGCAGGGTGGCATCAGATACATAATAGAACATAACCTGGTGTAATCTGACCAAATGAACATGGAGAAGACAATGACAAAAAATGGGGATGCTTCACATGAAGGGCACATGGTATCTGATTTGTGTCTGAAGTCTAAACTATGGAGACAAATGAGATATGAGCCATTAGCTAAAGTTAAATGAATCACAAGATTATATTATCTCTGTTAGTATCATAATGAAGAAGGCATTCCTTGTTCAAAAATGACAATGGGCACCAATTACTTCTTGAAAAATCAATTGACAAAAGTTAGTGCAAATTATCCAATACCATATTCCCTTCAAAAGAAATCCATGGTTTAACTAAGTTGTCAAGACAGACAAAACCAGACAGATGGACCAGAACTGGGAACCAGCAGCTAAAACAGATTTTAGGCTGGCTGGTTTTTAGAAATCTTGATCAAACCTACCTCATCATCACCATCCATGCCTTATCCCCACTATATGGGGTTGGCTATCAAACCTACCTCATATAGGTTGGTTAATACCTATTATAAGCTGGAATTATTTGCTATTTTTCCTTTTTTTGAAGCTTATTTTGATATAAAATAACTTTAAAAGATAATCTGGAATTATTTTCTTTTTTTTCCTTTTTTTGCATTTTTTATTTGAGCAAGTTGAATGGTTGAACATGACAATTGGACAGTTTGATACCATGATCCAGTGATCAAAACAGTTTCACATCCAGTCCAATTCTGACATTGGTATGTAGTTAACAGAATTTGTTACCAACAGGAGGCAGACACCCTTGTCAACTAAAACTGAGTTCCTAATCAACTTGTGCATACGTAATATATGAGCAGAGTTGATTATCAAAAAACCTGCTCTAAGTGCAGGCTCAATACTTTGAAGATCAACAGCTTGGAGTTGTCCAAACCTGTCATAAGAAGCAAAAATCAGTGATAATAACCATCACAATTGTAAGAATGAGCCAAAATTCTTTATAACTGTGGCAAAGGTTTAAAATAATTAGTAATGACCATAAGTTCTCCCCTCAACAAGTTCCCATTTTCATTTTTTAATGCAATTAGTTCTTTTAATTATTTTATGTATTTTACCAAGGTTTTAAAAGGCAAGAGGCCAAAGTGAAGCAGTTGGGCTCAGAGTGTCAAAGCATAAATAAGCGTGAACAAAGTTTGGAGTGCCCCACTCCTGGCCAGGGGAGCCATGCCCCCCCCCCCCNGTCCACTTTTAATAGTCATTCATGTACCCTCCCCCCACTCCCCATCCCAATGGTTGCACCCACCCATGGGCACATCCATATTTATCCCCCTGCCTCCCACAATCCACTTTAGGTTTTGGCTCCCCTCATGAAAAATTCCTGGTTCCGCCCCTTCTCCTGTCCCCATTTCCCCCACAAAGAACTTCATATGCAGCAAAATTTTGAATTTTTGTTTCCATAAGTTTCAAATCTTGACATTTGAATTTGAGAAGTTTTAACTGCTTGGAAAGCATGAACAAAATTTGGAATGCTCCACTCCTGGCCCCATTTTCCCCCACAAAGAACTTTATATACAGCAAAATTTGGAATTTTTATTTCCATAAATTTTGAATCTTGATATTTAAATTTGAAGTTTTAACCGCTTAGGATATAATCCTAGCTCAATTGGACCTGCCCAGGAATTTGCATCTAATAAAGAAGTGGTCCAAAGTCCTATCCTTCTTGCCACAGAAAAGGCTTTTTTTGGGCCATCCAGTCCTATCCTCCCCCGTCCCCATTGGAGAACAGCACTTACAGGAAGTGCAATCAAGAGAGTTTATATCAAATAATAACTTGCAGTTTTTAGTAGCTAAAAGTACCCCAACACATTAGAAAAGTTCAAAATCTTGACAGAGTATCTGCCACTTAAATGCTGTAAATATGTCTCCTTGCAGGGGGTTGCACAAGCTATTTTTCGAAACCCCACCAAGAAGATTTTGTGTAGGTTAAAGGAAGCAAAAAATAATTAAGTACTAAGCAAATTAACAATAAAGCCAATCTTTACATTGCCAACCCCTATTTTTGTCTAATAAGAGCAAGATGAAGTAAGGGGTGTAGACCCTTCCCCCAGATTCTTGTTCTAAAAGGAGAACATAAAAGGGGCAGCACCTCCCTGTTTTTTCTTATTTGAAGAAGAACATGAAAACTCTGGGTTTCCACTCAAATCTCAAAGTCTCAAATTCCCAAACTCTTGGTCAAACAAGAGATCTCCAGTTTATCAGTAATCCAGTTTCCTTCTTGTAATCAAATGAAAATTACATTTTCACCTTTACATATATAATCTAACCATCAGTTTTGTTTTACAGGGCCATCCATTGAGGCATCTGTGTCCTGCAACCTGAGGCAAAAGGTACAAGGCATATACCTCTTCTCATATTATCATATTCTTCAATTTTACCCTTGATTACTATGGTGTATACTCACAAAGCAAGTATGTCCTGAGAAGTATAGAGTACCAAAATTGATGAATCAACATGGTCATGAGTCAATCCATGTTCAAACAAGAAAGAACTAAAATGTGTAAATTGCACGATAGAGATTCCTTGACCATTGAGTTGGTGTACTGTGGATCAACAAAACCTAGGAGTTGTGCATGTAGAGTATCTCAAATAGCCATGTCAAATGCAATTTACAGACCAACAGTGGATGCAATGAAGAGAATAGATCTGGTGGTGGAGGTAGACAACTTGATTGAGACTGAAGCTCCTCCAAAACAGAAACCCATTTGTTGGACATACTTCTGGGCAACAAGCTTTCCTTTGAATTTTTCAATGAAGCCATTGAAATTTTATTTTAATATGAGTACCCAATGGGAACCTAGCATAGCCTTGGAGGGAAGAATTGCCAATACCAGTGATGGTACATGCTATTCAGGGTGTTGGGAGGGATGGACCGATGGAGTGGGTACAACCTCACCTCAGCATTGTCTTACATTAATTGGAAGTTCTCAGACTTGACCCATATTCTCATGCTTGTCAGCCCAAGAATCAAGACACAAGTTATATATAATTTTCCCAATCATGGATGAGAAAAGAACCAATACACTTTGCGGTTTGCACTATATTCCAAAAACAACCTGATGAAATTTAGGTAGGATTTGGAGCATGACCAATATTAAACATATAGACAAAAGGGAAAAGGCAGAAATATAAGTTCTCATTAACACAATCAGTTTGAAGAAACTGAAGGAGAATTTAAGTCTTTGAGATGACTTTGTCGACTGCAATTTAAAGGTGTAAAATTATATATCAAAAGTTACATATTCTTAAAACACTGAATACAATTTACAATCATGTAGACTGACATAACTGGCCACATATTAATGTAAATAGTTAAGAGCCTAAACCATGCAGAATCACAAAGTTCATCCTAGTCTAATGCCCTCAGTAAACATATTCACTAAGAGGGTATTCGTCAATGTGTATGGATTTTGTTTTTTCAAACAATAGTAACTGCAACATCAGCAAAAACATGAAAAACAAAATCATACATATTGGAAAACACCCCCTAAGACCTAAGTGTATAAAAAGTGTAGGTATTAACTCGGATCACATTGCGTAGAACTGAGATGGACTTCTAATACGCTCAATTAATCAAATACAGATTGATGGGATTTGTGTATCATAATAGGAAAAACAAAATCCCTCCAACCCGATTCTTAATTAGTGGAACCGTCCATTATAATTACCACGAACCAGTTTCTATCATCTTGCCATGGAGCTGATAGTACGATGTTTTATGACATATATTTCCGAAGCTACTGAAGTATGTGATTCTATATAGACTATTGTAATCAAATAGTATTTAAAGGCAATTCATAGCTATCAAAGAAAATAAGAAGTATCATACATATATAGCTAATGATGAGAGATGAACCACATAAGAGAAGTACCAATCTATAACTTGTCGAATCTTGGGGGCGAATTCCTCCGCCTGCAGTTTCATGGAAGAGTTCATGGTTAAATTTAAGCGAGTGGGAAGAGTTTAGTTTGAAGCTATTACCTCTTTGGGAATGAGAGAGATGCGAGCGGTCTCTGCTAAAAGAGGCAAGTCAGGGGGAAGAAGAGCGGAGGGAACAGAGTAGTTCCGAGCTCTCCACTGGGATGACCAAAGGCATCTGCTTTGTAGAAGAGATGATACTCCCATTACAAATGATGCTCTGGTGCTCATTGTTGGGTGAATGACTCGCTCGTCCAAGGCCCAACTACAGTTACTAAACGCAGGCTATTATCCGAAACAAAGCATAAGTGCTCACGGTTCGGTTAAGTTTTTTTTTTAACCGAACCGACCAGTTCGGTTTTTTTTCAAAAACCAAACCGATGTACCGGTAACCCACATTACGGTTTTCGGTTTTTTATACTAATATAACTTTGCATTCAAAAATTAAAAAGAAAAATAAAAAAACGTCTAAACGAAATTTCTGACGAGTCGTAACTATCATTACATTATAAAAAATTAAATGTCTTAAAAACATTAGGGATGAAGGGAAAATCTATGATACTAGAAAGACGTGGTACTAGAAAAGCTTTAACCAATCAAAGGACTCTCATGAATTTTGATTAATACCACCTGATTGATCATCTCTTTTTGATACCAGCTGATTGACCATAACTTTTCTGATATCATATCTTTTCAGTATTATAGTTGAACCCTTCAAATTTATAGTTGATTAGGAACTAAAACATTATTTGATGCATTATTAGTAATGACATTACAAGGTATCTACATGAAAATGTGATTCTTAGGAATTTTAGGATTTACAAGAATTAACTTGACATGTGTATCTTAATTTTTTAACCTACATCTCTTAAAATTGTCTTTCTAATACTCCCTTTTTTTTACACTTCCAATAATTTTAACGTTAATTGTATTCAAATTTTATTGATTTTGGAGGAAACCATAAGAAATGGGAGATTCTTTTGGGTTGAGACAAATATAGGAGAGATTTTTGGGTGTGTTATCTGATTTTATTGGTATTAATCTATAGTTAAAGATCACATAACCAAACAGCCAAGTATAGAGCTTTCTTATATTTAGTTTCCTGAGAAAAACATACATTGATATATTTTAAATGTCTTTTTTTTCCATTTTATTTGACTAATAAAATGAGGCTTGTGCCTCGACAAATTGAGGCCAAAGGCAGAGAGGCCTTTGCTGATTGGGAGCCGACCTAAACCAACAAAATGTTTGGGATGTATACCTTTTGCTTGATTCGTATGGGGTACAAATCCATGATTAAACCAAGTTATAAATATCGATACGTCGGCGTATCAGGCGATATCGATAGTGTTTTTTTTTACTTTTTTATTTTTTCAAAACCAGTTCATGGGGGCGGTTTAAGGCTCCACCCCCTGAACCAGTCAACCCTGATACACACTCTGTAGGGGCATATCAGGAAGCTCCCGAAATGATATGTATCGACCGATACTTTGAACCTTGGATTAAACCGATACTCTGTAGGGGCATATCGACCGATATTGATTTTGCTTTTCTCTGAATTAGGCCGCTTGTTACAATGTTTTGTTGCTTATCTGTACATACAATGAGACTGAACCGTCCATAGAACTTTTTGACGTGCATACTGCACGAGAGCCCCACCATTATGGCGCCATCCAAACGAATCAGTAACCTGACGGCGTTTGGCAGTCACTGTTTTAAGCTGTCATTGTCTCCTCCCTCTTGCAAGTTGGAAGTGTTCCTTTCACTGATGGTGTTGCTACATTGTTGGAGTTGTGGAGCAACCAACGAAGTTTTATGGGACCCGCTGGAACAAGAGGGCTTTGAGTCTCGATCACCCTCAACCTCAGGCAAAGTAGCAGAAACCACTTTAGTTGACTGGTTATCCTCAGCTTCAACACATTCCTCATGACTAACTCTCTCTTTACCACCACCTGTATGCAATTTGTATAGATGCCAACATGCTTTTAAGTGTAAATCAACGCATAAAGGGACTGACGAAATTAATTTAGCATACTAGGGATACCTGTATTAGCAGCAGCAGAAGATGGAACCGTTGTATGTGAGGACGCAGATGATGCCCCAATTCCCCTTTTCATCCTTGACTGTGTTATTGCCACCAAAGCCAGAATAATTATAACTTAGATGACAAGTTTTAAATTCTTCTATCAAACTTGTGGAAGATGTCACTGTATAACTCAAAGAAGCATTAGAGTATTTTATTAAACTTAAGATATTAAGTCACAAACCTTTGCATTTTCTTCGCAATGCTTTACAACAGCCAATATGTTTGAGTAACGACCATGCACCAGCGTATATGCCCATAGAAGAAGCTTCCTAGGGATGCTGAGATCAACAATGTCAACCCCATCCATGCCTGGTTGAAATGGGCCTTCTACTGTCAACCGAGATGGCACTGTATACAGGTTAATGCCTGATGGAAGAATACCACAGGAACTCTCCCGATAGAAATTGTATGAACATCTTAATAAAGCATTAGCAGTATCCATATTTTCCTCGGATGCTTTCTTTATTATGATGCTCTTGATTTTGGACAAGACATGGTTCCATTTTGTTTCAAGGTCCTTTAAAGTAGCTGGGTCTTCAAATGATGAATGCCATAGCTCATTCTCTTGAAGATCAACACAAAGGTGTACATTATTTTCTGAGCCACCAGCTGCTGGATCAGAAACCTGAGCTCCATTTGAGCCTTCAGCACGCAATGGAGTGATCAGGACCAAGCTCACCACAATAGATCGACACCAAGCTGCAGAAGCATGCCTGCATACTTTAGCACAATTACTATTTGAAAGTTTAGGGTTCTTAAAACGCTTCCGGATCTTCTCATTTATTCCTTCAAGAATATCCAATTTGACATCCCTCTCTAATGACTTGATATACTGATGGAGGTAACTGCCATGAGGAAACAGCCCTGTCAAAAAGCATATACACCAAATTGAACCATAGAGGAATGCATAGCATTCATGTCACTTACCCATAGAAACTATTCTCAAATAACTCTGAACTCTTGATTTCAGGTAAACTGCTTATATCTGTACACAAGTTTCCCTGGTCCATGAATAAGTTGAACATCCTCTCCATCAGATGCTCAACAGAGCTATTGACAGCACAAGATCCAAGGTTCTCAGCTTGACGAATAGCTGCAATTTGTGCTTGAATATATCTTCCAAGGGCAACTGGAACAATATCTTCAAGACACAATGAAAACTGCATTCAAACATGAAACTGCTTGGTGAAATTCTCTAAACTGAGTTGCCGTTGAACCTTCCTACAAAACCTTCTGCAGTAAAACATACTTGAATAGAAGTAATTCATCCCTTACCCTCTTATCTGACCGAAGAGATACGTAAGCGCGGTCAAGGGTACACAAGTCTTCAGTCTCTTCCAACAATTTCAAATAGAGCAATGTGTACTTCCGAATGCAGGTAATAAATTTCCGAGAACTTTCTGGTAAGTTAACTTCCAGTGCCCTTTTGCTTCCAGTAAGGCCTGGTGTTTTTCGCCTTATAGCCAAAAAGAAATTAAAGTTAGGTACATTGATTGCATATGATACTCAAAAAGCCATTTCTACCAACACTTCTGAGAAAATATGAAACATTTAGTTTGACTTCAATTTAGAAAATAGAAATGAAGGAAACCTCTATACCTTCCCTTTTTTACCATGCCATCAATCTCCCACATATTAATCGTAAAGGAGGAGCGAGATGATTTGAAGCAAAATGAAAGTTCCTCCCTTGCCCTCTCCAAATCCCCACTCTCCCCCCTTCTATAAAATCCTTGGGCAAGCATATATCTTGCCTTATGGAAATGCTTGAGATCCCCTTCTATACAGATGTCAAGGGCAGAAAGGCAATCGTTATATAGAATGTGCCATACTTTGTCCTTATCAGGAGATTCCACATGCTTTCTCTCCTCCAAAGCAATTTGTTTGCTTTCATCCTTATCATCCATCGGCAACTGCGGAATGTCAACAGCAGTTCCACCTAAGATATTCATTACAGTCTCCTTTGTTGATTGACTAAAGCAATACTTTGCAACAACCTGAAATGAACAAAGAAAACACTAATCAATTATGTAATCAGTGATTGATCAGATAACTAAATATTTGCTTATATTTTAATAATTTAGTCTGAGAAAAGGTTTCTTAATCAGGCCAATTAGGCTTCTCCACTACAAAAATGGCGATGTTGTAGCCAATTTATACATCCTCCAGTATTGGATTGGCCAAATCTTCGCAACTATGCACTACATTATCCCTAGAGCCCACTTTGTTTTGGAGTTTTCAATGGTGATATTGGGCATCCAGACTTCCAAGTAATGCAAAAATTTACTCAAAATGGTGTTTTATTTTGGATACCATGGAAAGAGATTTTGAGCTGTAAATAGATGTAAAAGGAGGTATATGACGGTTCCAACTGGCTCAGTTGGTAAGATCTCTGGCTAGTTGTAGGCTTATAGCAGAGAGCCAGAGACTTGGGATCAAATCCCACTGTCACCAGAGTTGGGGGTTATGAGTAGGGGGACAGGCTACCCCCATTGTGTAGCCCCAAGAACATAAAAATAAAAAGGTAGATAAAGTCCTTTTGGGTCCCCAACACTGTTGCCATTCAAATGTTTCTGGATTCTTTTGGATTGCCTAAACAACTCATCTAGCAAATGTTTCTCTTCTGACATTGATGATATAAATATTTTTATAAGCAACAGAGGATAAATAACTTTATTAAGAAGCAAGCAGAAAAAGCTCCAAGCCCGACACTTTTGTCAACAGAAGATAAATATTTTAAGACCAAGTATTTACAAATTTTCTCCAGGCCCCAGTACACCCCATCTAAGGTTATCCCTTGGGACTCCTATTGTCACTAGTGTCCTCTAGGACTGTTTGCAGTTATTGGAATCCACCTGAAGAAGTTCAAGTATGTTGCCAATGATCTTGCTTCTCTTACCAGAAATCTTAATCGCCATAGTACTTCTCTTCATAGCATCCAGTTTTAAGCCAGTTGACAATTCCTTTCTGCTAATAGATTTACCCACTTGGTTACAAGAGGATATTTCAAACCTTGCAGAAATGCCAAAAATTCTGCTCTGACTAGATAACCATCTGCAACTGATCCTAAGGTACTGAAAAGTTTTCCATCAAGATCGTTGAATACACCCATGCCCAACACTCCTGGATTTTACCAAGCAGCACCAGTCAAAATTTAACCTTAATTTATGACATAAATATGTTGACTTTGTGACATTCCCAGTGAATTGTCCAGGAAACAGGACAAACAATGACAAGGGTTGTACTAATAGGGGAGCATCCTTACTTGTTGTCCCATCTGAAAAGGACAGAAACAGAAAGGACTTTGTTGAAAGGTCCTTTACTCATATATGTGCATATGCTTGCAGCTTTCTCATGGATTGGGCTTTGGTTTGTCTCTGACTTAAAAAAAAAAAAAAAAAAAAAAAGAAAAGAAAGAAAAGAGAAGGGACTTTGTTTTTACCTGGTGTTCTTTTTGGGGAATAGAGGTGGTACATTTAAAGCATTTCAGGGACCTTTTTTTTTCTTTTTTCTTCCCTTTGTTTTGCATATCCCTCCACAATCCACATATGCTTAGTATTTTTTTTTTTTGTTTATTCACTGAAAATATCAAGAAAAAACTCAATTTGTGGGGAAAAAAACTTTCAAGAAAACAACAAAATGCAAAATGGATTAGACAAAGGCAAGATATAATTACCAATAAAAAAGAGGGGAAAAGGATAAGAAATAAAGATAGAAGAAAAGACATGCTCAGAGCAGTAACCTGGAGGGCTTCTAGATCCTGTTTACCGCATGAACAAAGTAACTTGAGACGTGATGCGTGCATCCTATACACAGGATCTACTGCCGACAAATTCAAAGTGATAGCCTTGTCATAATATGAAAAAGATTTCTCATGTGAATATCCTAGCTTTTCACAAAGCTTCCCCAAGTAGAATGCATATGACCATTCTTGCCTACATTCAGAAAGAATATCAAATATTCTTGTCAAAATATTTAATAACTTGAAGAGTCAAAACAAGAAAATAGTTGAGGACAAGCTGAAGTACTTCTGTGCAAAAGCCTTCTCAAAGTGTTTCATTGCATTCTGACAGAACATCATCCATTCTGTGTCTCTTGTAGGTGTAACAGATCGCTGATCATAGAATGGTACAACATTCTGAATGCCATCATAGTAAACTAATGCCAATAACTCATGTATCTCACTCTGGAACAGTGGAACCAAACAAATTTCATCAGAATGGTGAGTAACAGTACCCTATAATATTAGTATTTTAATGTAAAAAGGGGGCATGACCACTGGCAGGCATAAATTGCCAAGAATATCATTGCAGCAACATGGACAGAGAATGACCTGCTGAACTGGAGTCCTTGCCAAAGCCAAACTCATTAATAAACATCGCCTGCTCCTTCTTCGACTTGTCTCAACCCTTTGAGGCAGAGTAGAATTTTTCCTCCATCCCACAACATTTATGTGTTTACTGCCATCATTCAGCAACAAGTCCACCTCCTGTTTCAAAGAAACAAAGGAGTTTTTTTTTCTGAAAAAAAAAACAAGGAGCACTGTAGCTCGAAATTGCCAGCTACACCAAAGTGGGGTTTAAATAAAGTGCACTTTTTACAGAGTAATGCAAACTACTTGTAACAATATATCTTACTTCATCATAGATGTTTGCAAGTCGTTGCCAGCTCTCAAAGCGTAAAGGATTGTACAGTAAATCATATTTGAAGAGGTTCGTATTTTGCTCTACAAATTCTTCACCTTCCTTGGTGAGTACAAAACCAGGCCATTTATCAGTTGCACTCATTTCCTCAGCTTGAGCAAGGAAATAATACAAGTTACCATAAACTTCCGAATATGGCTCAGAGCTGCAATGAGATAATATTAACACATCAATAAGATGAAGTATCAAGCATAATAATTGGAGAAGTGAGTGGTCATAGATGAGATGAGAAAAATACATGAATTGCACAAAACATAGAGAAACAAAGCTACACATGCAGGTATACCTCCATACAGATAATGACTTGCACTGTTTGAGGGTTCTTCCTTTAGGAAACATTATACTCATTACAGACTCAAGAAATCCATCAGACCCAGCCTCTTCTGAGAGCTTATCTTCACATAAATCAGGATTATCTAAAAAGTTATCAATTGAATTTTCAGCCAAAATGTCTAGTGGTGGTTGCGGAAAGTGTTTACGTATAGCTCTTAATACTCTTCGAAGTTTCACCAAGCCTGCTCTCTGAGGCAGAGAAATGAAATTGTTGCTCAGAAAATTAAAGGGAAGGAAAATTGGGTTATGGCGTCCACAAGAAACTTTTTATGTCCTTGTTCAGTAAAGAAAATTAAAACACAGAGAACTACTTACAGATGAAGCCTTTGCATAAGGTAATATATACTGAAAAACATCAGCACACTGTTCCTTGGTCTGATAGTCTCCACGACTAGTATTTTTGTGTATGGCTAGGTCATCTTCATTGGATGAATCTGGAGATCTGAGGTTCAGACCATATAGACAGAAAAAGCTCTGGTCTAAAGCATTATCTATTCCCAATTCAATCTTCTTCCTCTCAACATCGACAAGATGGTTTCCACATTCAGTAATTGGATCTCTCACTTGTTCTCCTTTAAGATGTTGAAATTTGTCATCATTGTCATGCTTTCCACATTCTCTTCCTGCATTTTCCTTCTCTAGACTATCATGAGCCAAGACACCTTCTGAAGTCATTTCTTCCAGAACATCCTTCTCAGCTCCACCAGTTTCATGTTTTCCAATAAGTACTGCTTCCACACCTAGAGGAGCACTCAACGGTAATTCATTTTGTGATATCGTTACATGATTACTATGGGAAAGCAACTCATCACATTGAGTTCCATCCAATCCCTTATTTGAATGGAAACCAGACTTGAGCTTCATATCCAATGCTAAGAGATGCTTTATAGCAAGCTTAAGAAACGTTCCTTCCTCCCCCTCACTATCTTTACCAGCACAACAGAGTCCATATTCAGCTAGCAAGTCATGGATCGCCACGATTAGTTCAACCTAGGATAATAAATCAAAACAAAAGCTGATTAAAAGGATAATTCAAAAGACTAACCTAAATGGGAAGTCATATCTAAAACAGGATAAGGCTTACCTGACTTTTAACAGGTACAGTTTGGTCAAGGTGTTGAAGTTTGCAAAATGCAATGGCTGCATCTACAAAACAACGGCTTTCCTGTTGTTCAGTTTGATCCACAGTTCCTAACCCAGAGGATTTCTTACACAGGAGTATGCTCACAATGTTGCACATTACTGTCAAGAGCAAGGATTGAATATTGCCAATACTACCAACAGGAACACAAAAACCTTCCTGCAAGCAGAGAGTGATTATCATTCAACAGACCCTATATACTAAAGAAGTCAGAAAATAGTTAGAACTCATGATTTGAAGTGATGCCTATTCTAACTAAACCAAATAACGAAACTTCATGCTCCATATCCCCTAGGGAGATCTTCAAGAAGTTGCTCTGGGAACAAATATAGTGTATATACTAAGAAACATAGGCAAGAAACTATTTGAATGAATTCTCAACTAATGATACATGGATGGTGAAAGAAAGAGAGGTGGATTGAAGACATAGCATGGCATAAGAACTCCCAATGTTTGGCCCCACTCAATATAAATCAATGTTCAACAACCTAATAACACCTAAAAGGGAACACTTTGATGCCTAAGATTTGGGCTAAGCACTAGTAGTGCAAGTATGGTAGCATTTGTAATCACCTCATTTCACATCTATATAAGGTGCTTTTTATTTGTTTCACCATCTACAATTAAATTCTGACCCTATTCAGAGAAAAGACCACAACTACAGACTAAAATCATAATTATTAGGAAAACAGTAAACTTACAGAAGTGCCTGATTGATCAATGAAATTCTTCACTTGTGACACACTTTGGGATATTGCCTTAACTTCCTCTACAACCAAGTTATACCAGTACTTGCCTGTGGATTCTACTGATTCTAATTCAGAAGTAAGAACTGTTTTTGACATCGACTTCTTGTTGAAGGCTTTACACGAAGCAGGATATTCTGCCATACCAGCAGCAACAGTAAGAACTTGAAGTTTCCGCTCGTGACAATTCAAATATGCTTCAATAGCCATTGGTTTTGCCTTTTCACATGCTGAGATTAAAACATCTAATGCCAATAATTCAATCGATGCTACTCCCTCGTTTTCTTTATAGGCAATAGGTAATAAGTCAAGGTAAACATCTTTAGTAGAGAGGAGAAGTGGAGAAAGCAAACTTACACATTCCAAATACATTTCTTTATCAATCATCTCACCAATAGTCTTCTTCAATAAGGAATCAACTTTCAATAGGTGAATTTCATGAAGAATTCTTTCAGGGGATAACTCTCTGACAAGCTTGCAATGTGGGAGGACCACAGAACCTGGAGGATTATGTGTACTTGTATTATTGCTCAGAAGTGACAATGAAATACAAAATTCTTCATGAGCTTTTTCCTTTTCACCAGACAAAACGGATAAGCGACCACTTAGCCAGAAAAAACGGACCCAAAAGGAACTTTTACCGCTTAAGATAGAACCATGCAAATGTGTCTCCTTATGAACAGAACTATTTGCCAATAACCTGCCAATGTCATGATAACTATCATTTTCATTCCAAGATAAATGCTCTGACTGCACTACACTTTTGTTAAGATCACTTATGCTAGTGCCCATATCACTGTCAACATTAAGTGCAAAACTCGAGTATACTGGATAATCTACTGCTACCATCTCAACAACCTTACAAAGATGATAAGGTGCTTCACATATGAACTCTGAACGCCTGGACTCATTGGCAGAACATGATCCAAGATCATAATATAGTTCAGCAAGAAAAAGACTACATTCAGGAGTCCTGTCCTGTCCCCAGTGCCGTGTCAACTTCTCCAACTCCAGAAGTTTGATGAAGGCTTCCTGGTATGGAGGGAGTCTATGTGCTATATCTTCCAAGAGCAAGTGGCCCATATGGTATGCACCATAATTTTTTTTGGTTTCCATGACAAACCTTCCGATGTCATTATGTTCGGTAAATAAGGTATTGTCCAGATTATCAGGACAAGGAACACATCTTGCAGCATGATCAGAATTTTTGGTTACTGATTTGCCAACAACAAAAGGTTCTAGAAATTGAATAACAACTTTTGCCATATCCTTGCTGGTGGCAAAGTCCAGCTCTTCTTTCCCTGGTTTACGACTTCTAAGCCTTTCAAGACGAGAACTCCGCCTTTCATGAGGATGTTCTTCATATACACCACCTTCTTTTTCTTTCACAGTAGTAGATTTGTCAGTGTTATAATCACTCGGATGCACATTTTCACCAGCTGGGATGACACTCGGTCCTTTTCCTTCTGTAGATCCCATAACAACATCTGAAGGATGCAAGTGTATGCTTAATCTGATATCTCCACTTCGATACAACTTCCCCCCACTGTTGCTTTCTGATGCTTCATGAATCTCCAAACTACTTCCACTTGCATCTAAATTGGGCACAGGAACCTTAGCACGTTTTGAGATGAGCTTGTCATTTACTTGATCATCTTGATTATGCCCAGCCTCTGGCTCAGAGCCATGCCTATTTACTGGGAGTAAGGCTCCCAAAATAGCATCTGCAAGAGCTGCCCAGGATGCTTCTGTTAAATGCAATTCTATATTCTGACTACACCTTTTCGATGCAACCCCTTCACTTATATCCTCATCCATTGCTTTTCTCTTCTCAGGAAACTTCAGCCTGACATGCTTTGGTTCCAATTTATCTATACCTCTTGGTGCAAAGGGAACTGGTTCTGACTCCTCAATGGTATTTTTGACATGCAAAGCACGAGAATGTGATGGCCAATGCCTCAAAATCAACTCCGCCACAGAAAGACAAGAAACCTCATCACCAATAGCAATCAGGACTTCTAACAGCTTCTCCATGCAGTTCCCTGCACCCAGCATCCAAATATGACAGTTATTTAAGAAAAACGATAATGATGAGCTAATAATAGAGCTACTTGCAAATTTATTCAACAATAAATAAATATGGTAGTTATCTAAGAAAAAAAGGGCAATGATACATGGGAATTTTTTTTGTAAAACAGGGTGGGAGGTTGTTGAAGGATTTTTTTTTAATCCAAATAATATTTAAATAATTTATAACCCAAATAAGCGGGTTGGCTAGTCTGCTAGCTAAATCATCAAAACTAAAAACAGATGTCCCGTATGGGAGTTCCCTCTCTTTAAGTGGGAGGGACAGGTGTCCTTCACCTAGGGGGAGGAAGTAGTTGCATAACTACCCCACTCCCTATTTAAGCACCTTGAGGGGAAAGTTAGAGTCTCTTCTCTTCGGAGAAAACTGTCTCTCAAGTTATTCTTAAGAAAGGCCAAGATAAAGAGAGAAGAAAAGAGAAGTTTTCAAGGAAAAACAGGGAAGGAAAAGAAGTCTCACTAATACAAGTAGGAAAAGAAAGTCCTCTCTGTGAATACTTCCCATATATGTCTTCTTCTATGTATCATTCTTCCTCTCTCTTTTGTTTTTACTTTTAAGAAAGGAAATATAGGAAAATAAACCATCTACAACCAGGTGCTTTTACTTAGTTGATTATGGTCCCTTTATCAAGACAAGTTAGGGATTGAACCATCTACAGTCTAATTCCTAAGGGCTGATTATGGTTCCCTTCAAATGAAAATGAAGCACAAAGGGATAAAAACCGTCTACTATTAAATATTCAACTTGATTGACTACGGTTCCCTTCTTGTATACAAAATCCAGAGGATTAAGGCTGTCTCAGAATTTCATCTGATTGACTACAGCTTATTGTGAAAGAAGAAGTGAGAAGGAAATCTTCTTTGCATCAAAAAGAAAAGAAAGAAAGAAATGTATTGTTGTAGAGTTTCTCGATTGTGTTTTCTTTTTTCTTCTCATTCTTGTACACTTGATGTAAAAGAAATGTAAATGAAAAGTTCTTTTTTTAAGAAGTACTCTATTGTTCATTTCTTTTGTTCTATGTAGTCATTTCTCTAAGTTAAGGTATTTTCTACTTTCTTGTGGAGATGTAACTAAGGGGAACAATCCGTATGATTCCCTGAATGGGCTTACCCAAAATAATAAAAACTCAATCACTTGATTGAGTGAATTATGTTGCATGATAATTTATTAAAATTTTCACACCAACAAGCATATAGTGCTGCCAGGACAGTTTTCTGATCAGTCCTGTGCATCATCTTTTTTTGATCAACTTGTGTGCGTCATCTTGTTGTACATGTTTTGGTTTTCTCATTAATATATTCATACTTTACCTTCTCTCAAAAAAAGAGTAAAAAGAAGACTACTGGCTATCGGCAATTCAAGGAATTCATGGGAAATCAGCAGTTGTCATCATGGTGTTAGGAGGTGATAGTTGGTCATAATTCATTCTAGAAATATACTATTTTAGTAAAAATAATCATACTATTTATTGCAATCTTCAGACTTACAATTTACAGTTACCATATATATTAGTTACCATAAGGCCATAACTACTATTTATAGTAAACTCACAGTTTGTTATTTTTAGTAATTTCTCGTGCCTATGATATTAGGTCAGAAAAGTGTTCTTGGTTTAAAAATTCGTGTGAGCTTAGAAGTTCTTGAGTGTTGATCAATCCTTTTTTTAGTCATCAAGTATTTCATTCTGTTCAGCTTACCTCAGAGCTTTATAAATCTATTATATGTCTTTAATTAAGAGATGAAATGGATGTGATTTGAATAGAAATTGTGTCCTGCTATTCCTTATGAATTATGATACCCCTAATCTCAGCTCGTATGTTTTGAGCACAAGCACCACATGATTCTCCCATCTTGTGCTACTAATGGTTGCAGCTGCAACTGGTTTTGCTCCCCTACCTAAAAACCTTTAAAACACAACTTTTTTTCAACACATGATATTACCATCCTAAATTAATTCCCAAACACCCAATAGCGTATTTACCTCTATAATCTACAAATTCCATTGCTTCTCCATTCAGCCCACTACATGTTTGATTTGTAGGATTGCTCTTATCTGTCCAAAGAGTGTTGGTTGGGCTGATTGAGACTGGGCTCCTTTCCTATTTTTAGAAGCTCTTGCATTTTGTACAGTATTTTGTTGTATATTGGGGTTATTCCCTGTTTTATTAATGCAAATGCTTTTTATCTAAAAAAAAAAAGATTTTCTCAGGAAAAAAAAGAATATATTATCATCAGGAAGGCACTATCAAACATTAGCAATGGAAATAGAAAGCAGTTCATAGATTCATCAAATCATAGAGGCAAAGGAACTAAATGAATCCTTACAATTGTTGGGGCTGCAAGAAAGCCCCTGCTCAAATGCCCAACGTGAAATACTCAATAAACCCATAGAACATGATAATGTTCCAAGCTGATTCCAGACAACAGAGTCTTTGGTATCAATCTCTACTGCTTGAAGATAGCAATGAAGGGCACTCTCATAATGCAGAGAGCCTTGTTGAACAAAAACAGTGGCAAGATTCTTCAGTGCCAAAAACCTGTAAAGAACTTATGAATAGAAAAGAAGAGGAAAATAGATGGGAGGGAATATTACAATAAAAAAACAAATATTTGAATTTATGCCCACATAATCATCTCCAAGGATGTGGCTAGACACCAGACACAAGAAGAAAAAAAAAAAAAAGCAGATGCACTAATTTTTGTGTTCTATAGCTTTACTTCAAAAGTAGAGCATTGGAATCCAGAGAGCAGTATGCTTTTCTGACAAGATTTTCATTAGTATAGCAGATTTTTAAATACTTTTTTTTGGGGGGTGGGAGACTAATTATTCTAAAATCCATTATTTTTTCTTAATTTTCTATCACATTAATAGCCTAAAGGAAATTCAAGTAAAGCAAACCCTGGTACCTCGTATCAAGTATCAGCAATATGACTATGACCCAGAGGTAGCCAGCACCTTCCTTACTTTTGACTTGTAGGACAGTCTTTACAAAGTTCTCAGTGTTTGGTTTAAGTCTATTATGGACCAAAATACTTTCTAATAGTAGACACACAAAGGCTTCTTTCTTGGGGGAAGAAAGACAAGACCAAAAACCAAAATACACCTTACAGGGAAAAAGCAAGCCAAATAACATATGGTATAATAGAAAGCAAGTAGAACAAAGTTTTTTTTTTTTTTTTGATATAAATTGATCAAGACCAACTGATTAGCATACGTGCCACAAACAAGGCTCTGAATAATCAATACATCTTAAGTAACTAATTTTTGTGGAAGATATTAATAATTAGATCATAAAAAAAAAAAAAAAAAATCATCCAATAGAACACCAGTCATGTTTCTTCCACACCCTTCCATCACAAGGGTCCTAGGGATGCTTCTGTATAGACCATGGTTCCCACTGTCATCTGTCAGAGTATTTGTAAAGAAAGAAACCATAAAATTTTTGGAGTAAATAAGAAGCCTCTAGCTCATCTTTGTGCAGAAACCAGTAGCCTTCTTATGGAGTGGACTCATCTACAGATCCTTCAAGAGGAGAGATTTTATATTTAACTGGGATACTTTTGTGTATAAAGTGCAGTGCATTATAAAGCAGCTTTTGGCTTTTGGCATGCCATTTTTTATCATTCCTTTTTATCAGCAACAAAGAAAAGACAATTTTATTAATATAAACAGGAACTATACATTTTTTTACACAATTGAGAGCACAGCATTGTTATCACTCCCCAATCAACATTACAATTATGCTCAAAACAGTTGACTTCTATGCACCCCTTGTTTAGCCAAGCTATAAGCCCAATTTTTAGCCAATCCTGGAACCCGTTGAATTCTTTTGGCATTTTTTATCCTAATACATGTACTTGCTAAAATATTTTAATTAATATTCAAAAAGAAGAAAAAATACTAGTGATATTGATTCTAATGCAAAACAAGAAAACCTACAAAAGTGTTCAAAGAAATAATAGAATAAGAAAGTAGTTTTTACGATAATAGTGCAAAAAAAGGTCAAAATAGCAAAGTAATGCTTCAAATTCCAAACCTCAGCTGTAACATATGACCATCACTAGCACTGTCATCCACCTAAAAGAAACAAAAACAAAATGTCAGTAAGAAACTATTTTTGAAAATGATCATACACTTGTCTAAAGTTTAATTGAAATTAGTAGAACCTGAGCACTCGATATCAGAGGATCTTTAAGAACAGCTTCTAAAAGTTCACGAGCTTTTGCATATTCTTTGGATTGTAACTTAAGGAGTCCTTCGTGGTAAGTTTGTGAAAGATGAAATTCCTGGAACATTCAAAAAACAAAAGACATCTTTGAGGAATACAATGTAAAACGGAAAACATAAGGAATGAAAATGAAGCAAGAAAAAGAAACAAAGAAAGAAAGAAAAAGAATCAAGAAAGCATACCACAAGAAGTTTTTTCAGCACTGTCAACCAAGTAATGCAAATAATTTCTTTTAACCATGTACATTTATATGTTTAAAGTATATCAAATAAAAAGAAAATAATACACTGAAGTATCAGGTCAACTCCATGGATCAAATTGCAGCTTTTTATCATTACCATCAAGCAAAGCATGTCATATGTTGTCAACACATAAACCAAGTAACGTATAACCATGCCAAGAGCCTTAACCATCCTACATTTATAGCAGCATGGAAATTCCAGCTATGACATATTGTCCTTGAATTTCTAAATTAATTCTCAAATTTTTCATGCTTTTGTTCATATAATACGTTTCTCAATCAAAAGAGTATCGGTATCTAGCATGCCATTCCCTTATAGAACCCTAAGATAAAACAGTTGAGGCAATAATAAAAAGAATCCCAATAAAGGCACGACCTCTTGTTCTCTGATATAGGACAAATGATGCTTCTCTAAACTTTAATAAACACCAAATATTAAAAATACGGTACTCTAATACATTTTTGTAACAATAAAACACAGTGCAATAGCTTTTGGCTTCGTCACTCAACTCCATCCATAACATACAGCGAGTGTGACACTCCCAACAATTCTTCACGGTAGCACTAAACATCCATTTAGCACCAAATGCCACTTCGTTCAAATTAGTGCTCAACCAGTCACCTATTATACCACTGAACTTCTTACCCGAAAAAATGGAAAGAAAAGAGAAAAAACTAGTGAATCCCATATTCAACCTTGCAAATGGTGGGAACAAAATGTTCTGAGTCATATTTACAGGAAGTACTGATCGGACATCAAGTTCAAAGTCACAATGAGTGAATTTTGTACAAAATTTTACATAATTCACCACAAGTCTTCTGGGTTTTACCTAGCTTCCGATAAATTGAACCAGTACGATTCAAAGATTAATACAATATTCTAGACAAAAACGGGTATGAAGGAATTTAAACGCAAAACGTAAGCAATTAGAGTATTAGGTATTAACTATGAGCATAGCGAGCTTAACTATGAGACGCTAAAGCAAAATAGTATGAGAAAAACGGAAAACGGAAAAAGCACACACCTGAGCTTCCTTGGTGGGGGCCAAAGGTTCCCACTGACCCCTGGAATCAGTGTCATTGATGGCAGCAATGGAAAACTGAAACAGAGAGAACCAAACCAATCGATTGAAGATCTAACATTAACAATCAGAGAACATGCAAACGGAAAAGGAAAAATAGCGAAAATTTTACAAAGAAGAAAAATAGAGAGAGAGAGAGGAGTGGAGTATCATGTTCACCATTGCAAATTGTATGTGTGTAACTATGCGTCTTTCAGTTAGAGTTGCAGGCCCATGTTTCGTTCGCTTCGGATTTTAGGCGAGGGAATTTTCAACTCATCGAGTCATCGCTGAGCTTTCCCTCCTTTCCTCACCGGGATATGCTTCTTATAGAGCGCGCCTCACACCGACCTCAAAGCAACATCTCACATCCCACCCCCACCTGAAACTTTTCCCATGAATAATAAATATAAATACGAAAAATGTTTTCGATGTGCGGTGATCGGTATGAGGCGCGTATTGTAAGGAACGTGAAAAATTGGAACGATCAGACCGGAGCGGTCGGTCCCCAAAAATCCCTATTTTTTAATAAAATTAACCTGTCATAATAGTTTTCGACAATTGCTCCCTTGAACCCTTTTTTTGGTGTGCAACCTTTCCTGAACTTTGACTTCTCAAAAACCACAGTTCATATTTCACATAAATTATACAAGCTGACCCCTCTCTGTCTCTTGTTACTTTGAAACTAAAATAATTTTGAATAAATTTTTTAAACTACTCTTATGATTTAATAAATTGATTAAGTATATTCTTATTGTTTAAAAATTGTTTAAGGGTGTGTTTGTTTTCTCTTAACTCTTATCTCTTAAGAGAAATCATTCAACTTTAAAAGAAAAATGGTTGTTTGTTTTCTCTTATCTCTTATCTCTTAAAGTGCAATCATACAACTTTTTGTTTTCTAATAATATCCCCAAAAAGACAAACAGGAACTCTCATATATGGGGTCAAAATAGATATTTGATAATTTTCAGAATTTATAGTTCAGAACAACATTCTCTGCAAAAGAAAAATTCACCAATACCAATATACTTTTTAATGTAATTACCGCACTTTCAGATGTCAGACTTAAGAGCAAACAAACAAGCCCTAAATCTTACTAGTATGGTTAAATATGAACAGAATGGTTGAAATGTCCATTTTACCCTTTGATTCAAATTTAAGAACAAAAATTAAATTTATCTTTTTTGTCCCTTGTTTTAAGGCATATGTGCAGGTTCAATAGAACGTCCAAAAAGTAGAGACCGAGCACCATCGTCGTCACTGCAATTTCCGAACAACGGAGTTTTGGTGATAAAAAGTTTTTTATACATTCTTTTATTTAAGGTCACGGTGACCTTAACCAAGAAGAAATCATTAAGCCAGCCACCAAAACTGAAGCAACCGTCGAAATACAGTGACTTCTCCATATCAAAGTAATGGAAAACCACCAAAACTGAAGCAACCGCCGAAATACCAATGACTTCTCCGGATCAAAGTAATGGAAAACGATCTCTCCAGTAATTCTTCCAACCTCAACCGCTGAAGCCAGATCCAACAGAATACTATCCAAAGACCTCCCGATCTCTGTTAGTGCCAAAATTGCCTCCGTCTTGTTCTTGTCGCCAGACTCTCCTCCTTCTCCACCATGACCACCACCTCCTCCATGCACCACGGTTGTAGTTCCCACCATTTCCACCATTGCCACCATTTCTGCCCTGAGAAAACTAAAACCATAGGCTCTCGACTATGTTTCACCTGCCATGTGAACGGGAAGCTGGAGACGGTTGCGTTGGTGGCAGTGGCGGCAATGCAAGGGTGGTGAAAGGAGAACCATAGGATGAACGGTGGTGATTGAGCTTTGGGAAACCAACAGAGCGTGGTGGAGATCACCATGGCTGTCTCGTTCAATTGGTAGTTTCGTTGTTCTTCTCACTTGCCCAAACAGAGTTTGAGAAAGAGTAGAGAGAGAAGAGAGAGTCTGAGTTTGGTGGTGTTGTTACTTCAGTGGTTGGAGGGCAAAGAAAACAGTGGGAGAAGAAGAAGAAGAGAAGAAATTGCGAACTACAAAAAGCACACACACAATTGGGTTTCTTGGATCAATATTCATCATCCACTGGGTTTTTGTATCAATCGATCATTTGGGTTTTTTGGATTGAAGATGAGGGATTCGGGGAGAGAGAACAGAGCATGGTAGAGATCGCCATGGCCATAGTAGTTTCGTTGTGTCTGGTATGTAGATGCCAGTGTCGATGCCGGAGATAACCAAATTGAGCCCGCTCCCTCCCTCTCGAGTTGATCACAAAGAATCATAAAAGGGTACTTAGGCAGAATCGTCTCTCCCAAATGAAAAGGGCATTTTGAATATAAAGGTTATAATAGTCACGTGATGGTACATGTGAATAGTTTATGACGAAATGTTAACAATAAGGAAAGTATTAGTTAATTGTGAAAAACAGTAGAGTACCCTTAGACAATTTTCAAACAGTAGGGTATATTTAGTCAATTTGCTAAATCATACGGGTGGTTTAAGAAATTTATCCAATAATTTTTTTTAGGCTCTGAAAAGATAAAGATAATTCGAATTAGAACAATTCTCCAACATCTGAAATTACAAAACTCATTATTTTACCCTTAAAAATAGACTATTTGATTATATCAAAAATAATAAAAAATACTACCATTAAGTATTATTAATTATTTAATAATAATAATAATAATATTATTATTATTATTATTAAATAATATAAAATAAATATTGTAACATCTTTTGGTCAATGGGGAATGGAGGTTCCATTGATGCCTAATGGATCCATAAATCACAGGGTTGTGTGGATTCAAACCTAAATTCTATAAAATACTTAAATGTCATAAAAAATATTTAACATTATTATAAATATCTAATAACGATGATTGGTTATGTAAAATACTTAGGGGGTGTTCTTTTTCTAGATTTCGAGAGGGGGAAAGTTGGTCAATGGGATTTTTATTCCCATTTACCAAAAATCCCATATTCTTTTTTTAGATTTATGTAGGGACCAGGGAAAGTTTATTTTCCTGGGTATCACTTACCCAGGTAAATGGTACCTGATGAAGGAAGATTTGGCCTGACCTCGTAATCACTCAACACGTGGCAAAGGCAACAGCTCGGCACAACAGCACACCCAAGGCGCGAGCTCCGAAAGGAGGAACCAGCGGTCCGAACTCCCTACAAGGAACCCGAACTCCCCGTAAGGAGCCCGAGCTCTCCTTTGAGCCCCAAGCCTTACAAGCACAAAGGGCAGCGACCCGAACTGGCCTACCCCATGGCAGTTCGGGACACACCTCTATCCGAACTCAAGACTTCACCTCGTTCACCACTCCAGCACTTCGACTCCAGGATGCCAAACTGAACAACCGTACCACGTCTGACACCGAGGAAGTCCGTACCCAGGGGTGGCGCACCTGACTGACTTGGGATCTGACACTTGACAGCCGCACTTCAACGGCCACCTGCCACCGCCATCTCCAATTGCAGAGACGGCTCCGACAAAGAGAGCAGTGGCGGTTCTGTCCCAGTAGAGGTGATGACACCCGAACTGGCAGGAGCGCAGAGATAATCATACCCGACCTTACAAAAGCTTAGGAGTGAGTGCGCGAGGTGGTTATAAAAGGCTCCCTACCCCCCAAGAACAAGATATGTGAACTTTGCTCTATCTGGTTTTATCTTGCCTTCGAGAGAAAACTAACTTGAGCTTCAGAGCAATCTCACCGGGTTCCTCCCTGGAGATTCCTCATCCTCTCCATTTCAGGCTCCCTGTTGCTCCAGTCAGAGGCAAGGTCGTTGACAGGTAGGACCGACTGGATTGCGCACCATCAATTCAGTGGCGGTTCTGTCCCAGCAGAGGTGATGACACCCAAACTGGTAGGAGCGCAGAGATAATCATACCCGACCTGACAGAAGCTTAGGAGTGAGTGCGCAAGGTGGTTATAAAAGGCTCCCTACCCCCCAAGAACAAGGTATGTGAACTTTGCGCTATCTGGTTTTATCTTGCCTTCGAGAGAATACTAACTTGAGCTTCGGAGCAATCTCATCGGGTTCCTCCCCGGAGATTCCTCATCCTCTCCGTTTCAAGCTCCCTGTTGCTCCAGTCAGAGGCAAGGTCGTTGACAGCTTGGACCGGCCGGATTGCGCACCATCAATTGGCGCCGTCTGTGGGAACGCTTCCAAAAGCCTCTCTCTAAAACTCTCATAACCTCTTTTTTCTCCAAAAAACCCCAACACTCATGGCCTCTTCCAGCAATGCCGGACGTGGCACGGAGATGAACACCACCGGGGAACAACTTCAAGTCCCCATGGTGTGCATTGCGCAGTTCACCATCCCCCTTCCGGTGGATGGGATCCCCAGCTTGAGTGCGCCACGAACAGTGGTGCCCGTAAACCTTGCCGCCATGAATGTCCCCTTTCCACTCTCTATCGAAACAACCTTTACTGAACCAACTGCTATCCCCCTAGCGACTAGCCAGAGCCAGATTGACGACTTGATGCAGTGCATGCGGGCAATGTAAGCCCAAATGCAGCAGTTCCACCAGCATCAGCTCCAGCAGCACCAAGTACTGCACCACCTCTCTCAATATCACTATCAGCAGCAGTTCCCCCAACTGCCTATCAACCAGCCGCAACTTCCACCGCGGCATCCGTTTCCAAAGCCAGTCAAGGCTTCCCCCCAGAGTGGACGCCATCACCGAGGAGAAGCCTCCCAACTTCAGAACCCCCCTAACAGCTAGGCCTCATCCCCGGGTCGAAGGGAAAGAAAAATCACCCCCGCCTCGCAGCTCGCAGGCGGGTTGGGAACCTCGCCCGCAAAGTCAGCACCTCGGCGCTCCAAGCCTGAGTTCCCGCTCTCAGAGAACCGATTTAGCGCCCTAGCAGCGGACTACCAACATTCCGGGCCCATTGAGCTCGGCAACACAGAGGCCAACAGTGCCAGTACCAGGCCCACTCAACAACGAAGGCACTGGTGAAGTCGCCGAACTGCCACCCATGTCCTACCCGAGCTCAGAGGTAAAGAAGAGACAAGCTCGGACGAGGTAAAAGCTGCCCCCTATTCTCTCAGTTCCTTCCCCCCTCTCATCAGAACTCCTTGCAGTCCCCATGCCCAGAGACTTCAAACTCTCCCCTTTAGACAAGTATGATGGGTCCTTCGACCCCAGCGACCACGTCGATGCCTTCCAATCCCAAATGCACCTAGCAAGGGCCAGTGAGTCATGCATGTGCGTGGCCTTCACCACCACTTTCAGGGGGGTAGCCCGCACCTGGTACAGGAACCTGGCCCTCGAGTCAATAAGAAGCTGGACCCAGTTCGTGCAGGTCTTCACCGCACACTTCGTTACCAGCAAGTGGTGCCCCAGAACCGAGGAAAGCATCTTCGGAGTGGTTCAGAGGGAAGGAGAGCCCATCCGGGGCTACATCAAGCGGTTCAATA